TGTGTATGCGATGTTTGCGTTTGATTGCAGGGGTGTGTCTGAATGTAATATTTGTGTTAGATTGCAGGAGTGTGCTTGTATGTTGTGCTTGTGTTTGACTGATTGGATGTATGCGCATACACTACTACATACATACATACTTACACAGATATTCATGCACATAAACACACAAATGAATATAAATACACCGACACATACACATAAATTCATATAGACACTGACACACACACATAGATACACATAGGTACACACCGACATACACACATGCACCCTGACACACACAAACATTGATACATGCCCACACCATGACACAGATACATACACTGACATAAAAACACATACCATGAAACACAGAGGCACATACACAGATGTGTGCACACACAGAGATACAGAAGCTCACTGACATATATATATATATATATATATATATATATATAAACACACACTCATACTCACACACATACACTCATACACTCATAACACACACACTCATACATACACTCATACACACACAAACACTCATACACATACTTATAGTTACATAGCTGAAAAGAGACTTGCGTCCATGAAGTTCAGCCTTCCTCACATTTGCTTTTTGCTGTTGATCCAGAAGGAGGCAAAAAAAAAACAGTTTGAAGCACTTCCAATTTTGCAACAAACTAGGGGAAAAAAATTCCTTCTTTCCCCTAGAATGGCAGTCAGATTTATGCTTGGATCAGTGTAGTTATTACCATACATTGAAAAATTATAACCCTGAATATTCTGTTTTTGCAAGTATGCATCTAGTAGCTGTTTGAACATCTGTATGGACTCTGATAAAACCACTTCTTCAGGCAGAGAATTCCACATCCTTATTGTTCTTACAGTAAAAAAACCTTTTTTTCTTTCTTCCAGTCTAAACGCATGACCTCATGTCCTATGTAAAGTCCGGTTTGTGAATAGATTTCCACACAATGGTGTGTATTGGCCCCGAATATATTTGTATAATGTTATCATATCCCCTCTCAGGCAACGTTTTTCTAAACAAAAGAGGTTTACATTTCTTAACCTTTCTTCATAGCTGATATGTTCCATTCCTTTTATTAATTTTGTAGCCCGCCTCTGCACTTTTTCTAGTGCCATTATATCCTTCTTTAAAACAGGTGCCCAAAATTGCACAGCGTATTCAATATGTGGTCTTACCAGTATATATGTGGTCTCTTCGTGCTCCTCTCCCTTCACGTTGCCTCATCTCCCTTTCGCGCCGTCTCTGTGCATGACGCTGGAAGGAAGTGACAGGCTGTCACTTCCTCCCAGCCGGCCAACATTACAGGGGCCTGGTCGTCGTCTTAAAGGACCGTGGCACTCGGCTGGGTCCCTGATGAGCAGCAATGTTTCCCGATGCTATAATCATAGCATCGGGGAAACATTCCAGGGCGCCGCGGCACACAGTTTGGGAATTGTTGGATTATACAGTTAAATTAGAAAATCTTATTACTCATTTACAACTATCACAATAATTGTATCCCAATGCATATTTCCTCATTAATCTGCAGCAAGTGCCTCTGATATGCCAATCACCAGTATCTGTTCTTTGAACTTTTGTCTACTGGTGTTTTATTGGGATGATTTATTTATTTACTATACTATTCCCCCACCCTATTTTCTTTCTCTTATTATTCAGTCCTTTAAGACGTCCTTTTAAAAACCCTTCATACAGTACATATAGTGATATACACATATTGATAGTGACTGTGACTGAAGGATAAGTATTAGTTTGTGATATTTCAGTTAAACTTCAAATAATAACAACTATGTGTGAGATTTCTCTCGATAATACAAAGAATAGCCCTTTCATGGTCCAGCAAATGCTTAAATTATATGTTATACTGGGTTGATCTAGCCAATTTCATTCAACCCATGAAAAAGAGACAGCTTCAAGTCATTTCAGTACCCTTTTCAAGTCCCTTTCTGAAATCATGACACTGCTGCACGTTGAGCCATTTCTTCTTTTAAAAATACAATTTACTATTATTATAATTATTATGTTATTTAAAAAGTAAATTGTCATAAATAATTCTTTTAGAAACACAGGTAAGGAGAGCCACACTTAAATAAGCTCACAATCTAATTTAGGTGCTGTAAGAATAATATATCAAGAGAGGAATATAGTTTTGCAGTCTGTATCTGACCAAACAATGTGTGTTTATATATATTTTTTGCTGAATTGATCCTGATGAAAGCCACGGGTGATGGCTGAAATGTTGATTCTATTGGAGACTATGTTTTAAGAAACTTGAAATAAAGGAAGAAAATTTTTATACAAGAAAAAGACCGTGAGTGCAAGCCTTCATTTACTATTTCTGTGATATTTGACTTTGGCTAGAATGCACCCGTCATTTATATAATTTAAAAGAGTGTGTGCAGGGATCAAAAGGAATATTATATTTATATATATATATATATATATATATATATGCATATGAAAAACCATTAAGTGATAGCACTCTCAGGACTTTAAAAATATAACATAGCTTTTATTGGCTTACATAAAAAGCAACGTTTCAGCTTGATTTCCTCAAACTTTCAACAGGAATGGCATAAACATATACAATCCCCAACATATATACCATTAAAAATACACTTACTTATCTCCATCTGTAATGCAACAACCACCGAGGGCGCCCAGACCGTGACTGCTGGGGGTCACGGCAACGTTGATGCGTAACCACGTGGCGTCACGCTCAATGATATGGCCTGGGGATGTTGCCATGGAGACCCCTATAAACACCAAACGTATGCCAAACACGTAAATTAAAGTAATGGTACTTAAAAACACTCCACGGTAGGCAGTACTATCAAATGTATAAAGCATTAGGGACTGGGACACAAAATATGCCAAAATTATATATAATGGTTTTAAGACATGTAAGGTATCTGAAGTTTGAAAAAGGTAACCCAATACAGTTGAGAAAGAGCTCATTTGGTATCATATCCTAAAGAAATGGTTAATGACAATCTAACAGGTTGAGGTGGAGCATACCCCAGCTATGGTTAGGCCAATAAAGGAAAGGAATACCAATGAGACAATATATTTGCAAAACAGAGAAGCTGTATAGGGTGAGGGAACAGTTGTTGAGAGCTTTATAGGTGAGCGGGAGAGCATTAAAATGAATCCCAAGGTTTATAGGAAACAGGTTTACAAATTAATAAAGTCAAAAAGTATGCTGGCAGAATGAGATAAGAAATATATACCTGGTGGCAGTATTCATTATAAACTTCAGTGGGGATAACAAATGCACAAAGAAGATTACTATCTTCTTTGTGGACCTATTACCCCCACTGCTGTCTATTACTTGTGGCTTGCAGTAATCGAGATGGAACGTTATGTAAAGAAACAAGCATTGTGCCAGACATCCTCTATCCTAGCCAATGGATCAAAAGGTCTATAAGATTAATTACTATCAGTGGCGTACTAAGGGGGGGGCGGTCCGCCCCGGGTGCCAGCCGGGTGGGGGGTGCCATGGCCAGCCCCCCGCCCCCCCTCATGCTGCAGCCGCCCGAGCGCTCTGTATTGAGCCTCAGGCGGCTGCAGCTTTGCCCGGGCGGTGCGTCCATGAGGGCGGACCGCACCGCCCGGGCGCAGCCTGAGGAGAGGGGCTGACAGGAGGGAAGCGCTCAGCGCTCCCTCCTGTCAGCTCCTTCACTGTTGCGTGGCCGAGCCCTGTATAGTCCGCGGGTACAGAGAGCAGCTGTCTCCTGTACCCGGCCGGTGTTCTATCAGTCTGGTATACTCCGTCAGATTGCTATACCCACGTCACTTCCGGGGAGGGGAATCAGCTGTCTCCTGTGCTGCACATGCGTGCTAGCACTCCTGCTACTCCTCCACAGCAAGGTCCTGGAAGGTAAGTAAAACTAGTTTTACACTTTCATTATAGTTAGTGCATTCACTAAGCTTAGGCACACGGGACATTTAGGGTTAAGTGAGGGTACAAATTAGGGTTAGGTAAGTGATTCTAACCTCTCTCACACTCTATTCTTACCCTAACCCTTGGGGTAAGGGTTAAAATAAAGTGTGAGAAATCACTATTTAGTGATATTCCCCTAATGTGAAATATCACTAAATATGAACAAGTCCCTAATCCTAACCCTAATTTGAACCCTAACATTAACCCCAAGTGTCCCATGTCCTAAGCTTAGTGAATGCACTAACTATAATGAAAGTGTAAAACTAGTTTTACTTACCTTCCAGGACCTTGCTGTGGAGGAGTAGCAGGAGTGCTAGCACGCATGTGCAGCACAGGAGACAGCTGATTCCCCTCCCCGGAAGTGACGTGGGTATAGCAATCTGACGGGGTATACCAAACTGATAGAACACCGGCCGGGTACAGGAATAAAGCTCCTGCACCACCGCTATACTAGTTCGCCACTTACAGGAGGTGGGGGGGAGAGGGGAGAAAGAAGGGGGGGTGAGAGAAAGCTAGGGGGTGAGAGAGGGGTATCAAGGGGGTGAGAGAGGGTGAGAAAGAAATAAGGGGGGTGAGAGAGGGGTGAGAAAAGAAATAAGGGGTGAGAAAGAGAATAAGGGGGTGAGAGAAATAAGGGGGGTGAGAAAGAGAAATAAGGGGGTGAGAAAGAGAAATAAGGGGGGTGAGAAAGAGAAATAAGGGGGGGAGAGAGAGAAATAAGGGGGGGAGAGAGAGAAATAAGGGGGGGTGAGAGAGAAATAAGGGGGGATGAGAAAGAGAAATAAGGGGGGGTAAGAGAAATAAGGGGATGGGTGAGAAAGAGAAAAGGGGGGATGAGAAAGAGAAATAAGGGGGGGGTGAGAGAAATAAGGGGGTGGGTGAGAAAGAGAAAAGGGGGGGGTGGGTGAGAAAGAGAAATTGGGAGGAGGAGAAGGAAATTGGAGCGGGAGGAGAGATTGACATTCATCACATACACACAATGCACCCCTTGCACACAGAAAAACACACAGACACACATACACAAACAATGCAACCGTTACACACAATGCATCCCTTACACACACAGAAACACACAATGCATTCATTACACACACTCAATGCACCCCTTACACACATTCAATGCATCCCATACATACACAGAAACACACCTTGCAGTCCTTACACATACAAACACAATTTCACACAATGCATTCCTTACACACATATAAGGACATCCCCTACACACTCCACCCCCTGTGAACAAACTCATTGGTGGAACATGAAGGTGGACCCTGGGACCCAGATCTTGATCTGTGTAAAGGACCCCCAAAAAATGGAGCTGCTTCCAGTTCTCCCAGAACATTGATTTTTGTGACCACAGTTACAAACCGCCTCCAGAGAGCCTGTTCTGCACCAGACCAGTGGAGCCAGACTGCAGCTAGAGCCCATCATCATCCTCATCTGGTTGTAAGTAGGCAATCTTGTATATTATTCGTGGCACTAAGCTCTAATTTACCTCACATTAAAGAAACACTATAGTCCCCAAAACCACTTCAGCTTAATATAGTGGTTCTGGTGTCTATAGCCTGTCCCTGCAGGCCTTTTAATGTAAACACGGCGGCACTGCAGCACTGGCATTAGTTAACATGGCAAATCATATGGTTGGGGCATTGTGATGTCACATGGGGGGCGGCAAACTTTACTTTTGCCTAGGGCGGCAAAAATCCTTGTAGCGGCCCTGGCTGGAGGGGGCTGTGTGAGCTGTGGCCGCACAGTGTCCCATGGTAGTTAGGGTGCCGTGCGGCCAGTACAGCTCACTCAAGCAAACAGCTGATAAACTGGCCGCACGGAGAAAATGTGTATGTGTGACTGTCTGTCTGTAACTGAGTGTGTGACTGTCTGCCTGTAAATGTGTGTGTAGGGCTGCAGGGATTTTGTAGAAGGGGGTGGGGGTTTTGTATTGGGACAGGAGTCTTTATAAGGGGGGATAAGCAGGGGATTTGTGGGAGGGGATTGCGGGGGTTTTGTAGATGGGGCAGTACAGGATTTGTAGAAGGGGCAGGACAGAGGTTTTGTAGGAGGGGCAGGGCAGGACAAGGGTTTTGTAGGAGGGGCTGACAGCGGTTTTGCAAAGTTTACAAATTGTAAAAATAAAAGAAATAAAACCTTTAACATTTTTTACAGGTTCTTTTTTTTTTTTTTTTTTGGGGGGGGGTGCCAAGCACAGGATCCATACAGTGCCATCTCTAAATGCGCCCTATTGTACACAATCCTTTTTATAATGCGACTTCTATCAAATGCTTCTTTCAGCTTACAGACTGCAACACCCACTAATTCAGCCGCCCTCCATGAAGAACCCAGCTGGCCTAGATGTTTTGGGCGACTTCTGGATAAAATGATAAACTAATAGGACTAATCAGTTGGCATTCCAGCTCTTCTTAAGTATAACTCCCATAATTCATAGCCAGCGACCCAACAAGAGCTGGAATGCCAACTGCTAGACATCCCTGCCATGTATGAACTGCTAAAAGAGATCCCATAATGCAGTCCGATCACTATATCTTGAATATGGTGATTCCTGAAGTTCTTGCAGAGATTCTTAACTTTAGGAAGCACACGGTTATGTTAAGACACAAAACTCGGCCAAAAAAAATTCAAATCTATGCATTTAGCACCTTAATGACACCACTGATGCCATAAATGTTAAGCTATAATGGGATATGGCTTATCCGTGTAATGAATTAAGTTCATGGGTTCAGTTAATTGAATTGGGCAAATGGTTTGTAATTGTGTTCTTGAACACATTATTGAATATTCTATCCTTGTCTACTTATACAAAGTAACTAGTAATCAGTGTTACAATTAAACTAGGTACCAGAGTAAAACAAGATATTAAATATCTTATCTTTTACTAACTAACTAGTTTAATTACATTATACTTGGCTTATCACTAATAATGCCCATTGCGATCTTGAAATAGTACATTGTGCAAATATGGTTAGGAAACGAAAGATTTTGTTTTCCATTATTATAACATCTGACCCGAAATAAACTGAAAAAAAATAATTTAAAAAATAAAGAAATGTTTGGCTATATCCACACTTAAACCCACCAGAATGTTTAAGAAAATCTTTAAACGAGAATTATGAAAAATCTTCTCCCACATTTTGTGAATTCACTCAAATGATCAATAACTATTATGTCAGCTATAACAAGTAATTGTGAAAATATTGATCACAGAGTACAAGGGTCATTCACTAAAATTTACTTAGACCCGGCTTGCCACCCTTGCAGAGTTATAGATCACCTGGCACTGCATCAAGGAAAATGAAAAGTGACTTGTAATGTTCACTGATCAATGATAGGGGAATTGTCACTCTTCTGGCTATGATACCACTGAATAAAATATTGAAAACTACATTATTATTTTTTTTCTCACATGAGAAATGAGTTTGCAATTAGCATTATCATCTCATTATCATCTTGTTTAGTCTTGGCACGGCCAGGGCACACACTACATTGCAAAAAGAGAACAGCCATGTGCATTGGTTGTGGTCCTATAAGCCGTATGCATATATTATTGACACATTACTCACAGCACTGACCTACAGTCAAGGTGCATAAACAAGAATTATTTTTTTTTAAGGGAGATCCTGAGATTCTAATCCAGCGATGGACTCTAGACATTGTTAAAATATCGCAGGAAAAACAGTATTGACAGCAAACGTGCTAAACGGTAGCCGTGATGGATATAATATGCAATAAACTGAATGGAAAGAATAAACTGAACATATACTATTTTCCTGGGAGGACATGAAAACCTGGCCTGATGGCCAAAATCCTAAAGCACTTAAATACCGGGCATTATGTCGTTATGCTTTTTAGACAGTATTTATGGGAAATTGACATACCAGGTGCGCACTGACTCGTGTCTGCCACATGTCAGCCTGTTTAGGATTCAGGTCTGGGATCGGTAAACCTAATCTTGAGGATATTGCCTCAACATAACCTGCAAGACTGGGGAGAAAAAGACATTCATATCATTCATACAGAGTAAAATATTTTATAAATATATAGATATATCGGCAAAGAGTACAGAGTTACACACAGCACAATGCAGAACTGTACAGCACAGTACATGGAAAAAGTAACCTTTATTGAATTCAATTACAGAAATATATGCCAAAAGTTATATTTGAAAAATCTACTTTTCCTTCAACACAAAAAGCAAACAGGCACAATAAATATTACTTATGACTGATGAGCTAAAGGCTCAATGTATCAAACCCTACTTCAATGTTTCTGCAAAAAAACTTAAAGGGGTCATATAGTCACCCAGACCACTTCATCTCAATGTAGTGGGTGCAGTGGTTCTTTAGAACATTGTATGTTTACATTGTAGGTTTCAATCCACCTCTACTGGCTGTATGTGAAATTGAAGCTCATAAGAAAGTACTGAATTCAATGCTTTCTTATGAGAAGTATTTGGATCAGTGAGTGACACTCGCTGTGCATGCGCATCAGTTTCCAATGCTCCCCTATAAGGAGTATTGCATTGGACACCAGTGAGAGAGTCTGATAACGTTGCGTGAGGTGGAGCAGCTGGAGTAATGGTAAAATAAAACATTTTTAGATTTTTGCTCCAAACGGAAGGGAAGGGGGATTAAACAAGTCTTCAAATAGGGCACTATAGCGTTAGGAATACAGGTCTTTATTCTCAATGCTATAGTGTTCCTTTATTATGTAGGGCAACAACTTCATGATCGAAGGGGAGATCAGACTGCCATTATTGGGTTGGAATGTATTTTAGTTTTTTTGCTAGTTTGTTGCAAAATTGGAAATATCTTCAAATTGGGTTATTTGCCTTCTTTTGGATCAACAGCAGAAACAAATGTGGCTGAACTTGGTGGAAGCAAGGCCTTTTCTGGCTATGCAAGCTTTTTACTGAAACTTTGGGATGGAGCAGAGTATCCGCTTATAAATTCTAAGGGATATTTATCTCACCTGTTTGGCTTTTGTAGTGAATTACAATTTGATATTAACTGGTGGTGTATATTTTTAGATTTGCTCAGCGTGCGCTCTTTACCGTTCGCAAGGAGTACAAGAATACATTCATCAGATACAGACAGTGGTTTGTCTACTAATAACTGTATCTCATTGCCAAGTGATACAAGTATATAATGTGAACAACAGGATACCCAGAAAACCTGATAGATTCATTGCTATGGTTCTAGAATGCCCGTTTCTGTTATGCAAATGATATTCTTTCAACTCATATCATCAGCCACTTTAGTTTAAATAAAATCTATTTTTGTAGCAGTCCAAGGCATATGAATCTTAACTGGGTAATGCACTGCTCTATTGCAGAGAAAATTAGATTTATTCTTACATTCACCACTCTTCCAGGAGAATTTTATATTTAGAATTTACATTGTAAAAATATGCAATGATTCACACGGAAGCGTGTACCCGAGTCAGCAAGTCGTAAAGATGTATTAGCAAGCGGCATTAGCTTCTGGGGAGATACTGGGAGAAAAGACTTAACAGCTGCACAGGTCACAAAGATATCCTTATAAACTGGAAGGGAGTGAGATGAATACCTTATCAGAACATGACATATTGGTAGTAAATGTTCCCAGCAGACTGATGTACAATTTTTATTTATATTATTTGTAGCTTGCACTTTATTTAGTAGGTGTACTGTATAGTAAAACAATGTACATACCAAGAACACATGTAGTACAGTTCAAAAAGGATAGTTTAATATTCAGAAAGACTATTCCCTGTACTGTACTAAAACGTTGAACTAATAAATTCATAAAATAACCTCCACCGTCGTTATAGTCAACGAATAGAAACCTAATTTTTCTCTAAAATAAATACACCCCTCAATAAAATTTTACAGACTTGTTAAAGGTATTTTTTTTGGATAAGCATGTACATACATAATACTGAAAGATTTACTTTTATAATATTTATTGCATCTACTTTGAAAGGAAGGAAAGGATGTATCATGAGCAGAACCGGTCATTCGGGATTAATCAGATGGTACACTAACCGAAGGAGCTATCTGGACATAAATGAATAGAGAAAGATTGTCATACCATTTAGTATTTTTCGACAATCTTTCTTTCTTTATTTATTTAGCAAAGAAAAGGGAAAAATAAGTCAATAAAACAGTTGCGTAAAGAACAAGTGAAAGAAAATTCATCAGTACAGATCATTTTAAAGAATTTTAGGTACATACAATTCCCCAAAAAATCAGCAGTGAACCCTGTCTTTAACAAAAGCCATTTAGCGTTTTCATACTGCGTATGAATCTTATTTATAGTTACGTTAATGCATGTTATGCGGTTCCCTGTTGTAGTGGTGTGTGCTATTTGGTTTTTCCATTCTAATAATGTTCCAAGTATTACTTACCCAAGTCCAGCTAAATCAGACACAAGGTTTCCTAAGGCAGCAGCTGCAAAAAAAAAAAATAGATACTATTTTAGAACATGAAAAACAATCAAAGCCTTAAGTGTACTTTAACGGCAAATAGTCACAAAAATTCCAGAATGTTACAATAAAAGGTTCACAATGGAGTTTATCTGAATTAAAGGGAAACTATAGTCACCAGAACAACTACAGCTTATTGTATTTGTTCTTGTGAGTAGAATCAGTTTCTTCAGGCATTTTGCAGTAAACACTATTTTTAGAGTGCATTGTTTACATTACAGTCTAGGGATACCTCCACTGGTCTCTCCTCAGATGGCTGCTAGAGGTGCTTCCTGGGGCAGTGCTGCACAATGCATTTCTATGAGGAGATGCTGACTGGCCAGGACTGTGTTTGGCTTGTGCTGGCTCTGCCCCAATCTGCTTTCTTGACTTTTTCAGCCAATCTAATGGCTTAGATTAATCACTTCTAATGGTGTCAGTCAAGCAGGCAGATCAATGGCAGAGCCAGCAGCCACAGGCTGCAATAAAGGTAAGGCTTTGCTATATTTAGAGAGGGCAAAGAGGGTCAGGGGGGCTAGATGGTGTTTTTAACACTATAGAGTCAGGAATATATGTCTGTGTTCCTGACCCTATCATGCTCCTTTATGAACCACTCTGGAGATGTCAAGGTTTGCTAATCATACTGGGAGTAAACTTTGAGCTGGATATTCGATTTCAAGGTTTACTATAGCTGAAATGTTTGGGAACTCTCTGGGATTTATTCGCTAAACTTTGAGATAATGGACAGAAGAAGCATGGGAACATTTTCCAATTTTACTGAAAAGGAGTTTAGCTTTGTTTGTTAGGTTTTTTTTTTCTTTTTAAACTGCATGGTTTAGCCCACATGCCCCCTAGACTGTAATATTAACGTACATAATAATTGTGTTCTTCTAAACAGCATTAAATCATATTTCTGTAATTTCCCATACAGTTAATCTTTTATTGCTCTTGCTTGTGCTGAAATGATCTAGATTCTGCAGAAGTATTTTCTAATAGCTTATATTGCATTGATAACATCATTTGTACAATACCATGCTGTCAGAGAAGGCCCTTTTTGAAAAAGAAAAATAGAACTATAATTCAGAGGACAAAAGGGTCAGAGAAGCCATTTTTTTGATAAAAAAAAAAAAAGTAAAATAACAGAACAATAATTCAGACAAAGGAATCGATTTAATAAACAAAATAAGAATAATGTTCCAAATGGTTTATCTACAGAAATCAGAATTAAAGTCTATGAGATGTTTTGTAGATAAATGATTAATAAAGTTTTTCTAATTGTGTTCAATCATTTGAAAAGCTTATTAAATCAAGTCTTAAAGCAGCACCGTCACCCAAAAATGAGTATTTCATAAAGAAAACATTTTTATTAAATACTGATATTGACTGTGTTGGAATTTTCACACTTTTGAGAGAGTTCAGAGAAGGACTACTAAACTGGTTTATGGATTATAGGATAAAACTTACAAGGAGGTTTAAAACAGCACTGTCATGGCCGGATCCAGTTGGTTTTTTTTTTAACCCTCCCTCCCGACTCCACTACATCTAATTGCCCCCCTAGTTACCTCCAAATGCCCCTATGCCCCCCATGTAATGGATCACCTGGCACCCAGACTGGGTACCTCCATTGAAGGATGCTCCTAGCCCTTTCTGAGGGCTCCAAGCACTCCAGCTGACACCATAACCACCGTAGACTCCTTCAGAGAGCAAGACAGGAACAAGCTCTTACAAGAGCTTAGTAGTGATATAGCAAGGGAGTATGACTAGTATAGTAATCCCTTGTAGCAGATTCCCCCAATTAGAGATGGCACTCCAAATTGAGGGTGAAGTAGAACTGAAGTTTTTAATCAAACACTCTGCTTTTATGCCCATTCTACAATCATAGTACCACCCACAGGGTTTTGAAGTACAACCAATCAATACGTACAATACACTGAGACACTCCCACACAAAATCCTCCCCTCTGCCTGTGATACAATTACCTTACATAATGGGTTAATGTAATTATCACAGACAGAGAAATACAGTTTTTACACATATACTGTAACTTTAAAAACGTGCATTCAATCTTCATAAAAATGAAATTTTTATTCAGCACACTTTAATTATAAACAGTCAAAATTCAGCCAATTCCATCCATGGGGTTAAAATGCATTAGTTCCAGGGAAGGTAAAACTTCAGCGGTCTTTGTGCCGTTCTGTAGCCGATTTTAGTTCCATGAGTTTGGCGGCACACACCGCTGACTGCATTCGAATGAATCAAAATGGCCGCCGCCACGTGTTCGGTTTTCTAATGGCGGCCATTTTGACTACTTCGGCACTTCGAAGTTCCATGCCAAAACTGCAGGTCCTTTCCCAAAGTACTTAAAGGGCCAGAAACAGCACAATAAAATACAATATGTCCAAATACTGTATTTAAAGGGCCAGATCTTCCAGGGACCATAATCACATGGCAAAAGGCTGGCAATCAGTCTTCTCCAATGCCCAGTGGCGAGGTCGGTTTCGCCACACCCCATATTACCTATTTCTGCATCTTTATTTTGTGCCTGGACCTAGGTTCTGGGCGCCGCCATCTTTGTGTGGGTAGATGAAGGCCCTGTGGGAAACGTCATCTGCCCACACAAGGTCCACTGCCATATTGTAATTTAGAGCCCCCACCTACCACTCGGGGTGGGGGCCAGGGGAGGACAATAGGTGCCCCCATTTTCATTTAAGGCCCCCACCCGCCACTCGTGGGTGGGGGCTGTGGTAGGAAAATATGTTTCCCCCCCCCCATTTTTATTTTTGTGTGGGGGCCAGGGGGAGGACAATAGGTCCCCAACCTTATTGTAATTTAGGGCACATACCCACCGCTCAGGGGTGGGGGCCAAGGGGGACCCTATGTTCCCAATTTACTTGAATAGCCCCCAGGCTAGTTAAAAGATGCCCCACCATGGGCTTTTAACTGTTTACTAGACATGCCCCTACTTGCGATATAGCGAGTAGGGGCAGATTAATTACCAAGTAATTTTCACTTAGTAGTAGTAAAGTTGTGTGAATGACCAATCTTGGTCTTTCTGCCTTTTGGTAGATAGCTCCCTGATACCGTGGGAATTAGGGAGTTATCTACTAAGCGGCTGCAAGATGCATCCGCGATCGGATCGGAATTTCATTCATTTGAATGAAATTTCATTCATTTGAATGAAATTTCGAACCGAACAAAAGTCCTGAATTTCGTCCTAACACGAATGGACGAACTGCTCTCATTCTGTTAGGACGAAATTCAGTAGTTTTGTCGGCGTTTGGGAATACGGAAAGGAGACATCGCGAGAACACGGAGGAAAGGTGAGAATTGTGGGAAAATTGCATTGACCACAGAAAACGGAGAACACTTTGTTCCTCCGCTGGTCAAAGTGTAGGAAACCTCTATAAGACAAAGTAGTTCCTACTTTGTCTTATGTTTTAAAGAAAACTCGAGCAGACAGGAAGAAATGAAAAACAGATCCTGACAGAGGGAGAGAAGAGGAAGCGATTAAAGAAAGGTAAGTTCGGCATGACAGTGCCACTTTAAAGGATCTTATCATGTATAGCTTGTAGGAGAAACATTTAAATACATAAAGGGAATCAACACAGTAAAGGAGGTGACTATATTTAAAGAAGAAAAACTACTATAACAATAGGGCATAGTCTTAAATTAGAGGGGCAAAGGTTTAAAAATAATATCAGGAAGTATTACTTTACTGAGAGGGTAGTGGATGCATGGAATAGCCTTCCAGCTGAAGTGGTAGAGGTTAACACAGTAAAGGAGTTTAAGCATGCGTGGGATAGGCATAAGGCTATCCTAACTATAAGATAAGGCCAGGGACTAATGAAAGTATTTAGAAAATTGGGCAGACTAGATGGGCCGAATGGTTCTTATCTGCCGTCACATTCTATGTTTCTAAATTCCAACCCAGTCAAAAGATATCCTGTGACAAAGTAGGGACTACAAGGTTCTTTCTTGACATTCTATTCTGATCTTATTTTAATTTCTGCATTTCCCTCTTTCATTTACATGACACGTTGTAAAAAAACTGAGCCATGGTCACATACATGAACAACATCTAACAGCATCTCTTACAAACTGTGAAAGAAGCTTTTGGCAAGCTGATTTTCTAAAGCAGTATATTCCTTTTTCATGTAATATGCTCAGCTCTGCTGAAAATAATGCGAGAAGCTGGAGTCGCTTCCTGTTTTGTGCAGAGTTCACTGCAGATGCTGTAAAGCCTGGGGATTTACAGCATGTATCATCTTTATATTTATTTTTGCATATTTGTAATTAATTAAATATGTAGCTAACCACCAGACTGCACGGATATACATTTACAGGGTTACCAAACTGCTTCCGATTAGGCTATTCTGGTCTTAAATTTGAAACTCACCTTGAATTCTGACTTTAGAATAACCATGTTAAAATGTTCCCCTTGCTACACAGCTATTTTAAAATGAGCTGGTTACCTGCAGAGAGGTTTTAAAAATCCTGCATGTTAATCTATTTTTTTTTAATGCTTCAACTATATTTTAATAATAAATTAAAATTAAATGAACTAAAATAGAACACTTTTCTTATACATAACATTTTAGCCTTTACCTAATGTGTTGCTCGTTGACATTTTACATGTTTAACCATCATTTAAGGACTAAAACAGGGGCCTAGTGAGATCAGGTCTTTCCTGACAGGGCGCCAACCAGGGATTAATTAGATTTGTACCGTCCATGGCCATAGTATGTCGAGATCAAAGGAAAGGAAAGAGCTGAGATGAAATGGGGCAGGCAAGTACCATTATAGGAAACTAAAAAGAACAGCGGTGAATGAAATACTTAAACTGCAGACCTTGTCACAAGGGAGACAATAAATACATCAAAATCCAGGATTATTGACCTAAATGGTTCCTGACGTGGAAATCCCCAGATACATTTATATTTAGAAAACAATGGCAAAGGCGCAATGAATGAGCTTCTTTTGAGCAGACCCTAAATCTATTACCCAGGGCAGATAAATGGAGATTAAACTATGTCAATGTAACAAGAGAGATCTAAAATAAGAGCGCAATGCACTATTTGCGTTGTCCTCATTATCAAAGCTGGCTATAAGACTACAAAGGAGTGAAATTAGATTAGTACACATTCAGCTGTTACAAATTGTTATAGAAAGAGCCCTAAGCTACCAATACAAACTGATTTTGTATTGTTTTTTTATTTTTTATAAAGACTTGTCCCACAGCAGATCTACAAAATAAGTGTTGGAAGAATATTCATGATTTGGTATTAAAAACATTTTTATACCACCGATTTGAAAGGTTCCCTTTGATTTTGACACCGGTTGGTGAAACAAGTATATCAGCGGTTTCATTATTGCTTCAATAAGCAAGCCCGATATTATTGTCAGGTATTGTACGCAACTTGTCTGCAATACAGCATAAGTAGGTACAGTAGTAAAATTGTGATCCAAGCATTTTCAAGCCTGGTGATACGTACGTATTGTTAGAATTGGCAGAATTAGCACCAGATGATGAGACTGGACTAATGTTTATCATGATAATGGAGTTCATTAAGATAAGAACATTTCAAGAATTTTGCAGTGAAATCGAAGGGGAGAGGAATGTACTTACCTGCCATGGTAGAAATTCCTAAAATGACACCGATGGACAATTCTATTTGTGTTCCCTGTAAATAAAAAAATAAAAAAAGAAGAGGAAAATTGTGACTGGGTTTCTACCAACCAATCTATAGCGATCCAGTACAGTATCACGTTTTACACTCTGGGAGCAATACAGGTTTTTATGACATTTATGAGATTTCTAGATAAAGTTTGCTTCAAAATATGGTCTGCTAGCTCACTAGTTTGGGGAAAACCCTTAAAAATTTTGTTTATTCCAATCTGTACCTTTATAATGTTTTGCTGGGAAACAGCTACTTGATGTGTTTTGATTTAAGTCTTGAAACATAATATTTCTGTTCAGTGATGTTAGGTTTACTGATTAAATAAATCTGATAACACAAGTTCTATTAAAATAATAAACCGGGTCTAACATAAAAAAGGATTATTGTTACTATATGAGAATCCTGATGTTTCAGAGAAGGTGATAGTAATATGGCGAACCTCACAGTTCTTTGTAAAGCGGCACAGTCATGCCGAACTTACCTTTCTTTATTTGATTCCTCTTCTCTACCTCTGTCAGGATCTGTTCTTCATTTCTTCCTGTCTGCTCTAGTTTTCTTTAAAATATAAGATAAAGTAGGGACTATTGGTCTTATGGAGGTTTCCTACGCCTGACCATCTCTGACCAGAGGAGAAGCAAAGTGTGCTCCGTTTCCTGTGGTCAGAGATATTTCCCCACAATTTTTACCTTTGATCCGTGATCTCGCGATTCTTCCTGTCAGTATTCCCGAACATCCTGTCACTTAGACAGAATGCCGGAGAAACTACAGAATTACGTCCTAATAGAATGAGAACAGTTTCTCCATTCATATTAGGACACAATTCGGGACTTTGTTCGGATCGGAATTTCATTCGAATGAATGAAACTCCAATCCTATTCGTGCTGGGGCTGCATCTTGCAGCCACTTAGTAGATAACTCCCTAATTCCCACTGTATTAGGGAGCTATCTACCAAAAGGCTGAAAGACCTAAATTGGTCTATCAGCCAAATGTACTAATATCAAGTAAAGATTACTTAGCTATATTGCGAGTAGGGGCATGTCTACTAAACAGTGAGCAGCCTATGGCTGCTCTCTGTTAAAAGAACAAACAAAAAAACCTAGTGTCCACCCAACCGTGCCGCATGATCAGGGGCTATTGAACTGACCTATTACGCCCCCCTTGACCCCCACCCCGAGCGGCAGGTGGGGGCCCTAAATGAAAATGTGGGTGGGTACCGATTGTCCTCCCCCCGGGTCCCCACCACTGAGTGGCGGGTGGGGACCCTAAAGTGCAATAAGGGAGGTGGAACCTATTGTCCTCCCCCCGGCTCAGGGGTGGGGCTGGGGGTGGGGAGGACAATAGGTCCCCCATTCAGTTCAATAGTCGCGACTTGCACGGCGCGGGTGGGGACTCGGGAGGGGAGACACTATGAGGCTTTTATTGTTATTTATTTTTCAGTGAGACATGCCTCTACTTGGAATATAGCGAGAAGGGGCAGAATTTACTAATACTAAGTAATCTTTTGGTAGATAGCTCCCTAATACGGTGGGAATTAGTGAGCTATCTACTAAGCGGCTGCAAATATGGATTGGAAATAGGATTGGAGTTTCATTCATTCTAATGAAATTCCAATCCGAACAAAGTCCCAAATTGCGTCCTAACATGAATGGAGAAATTGTTCTCATTCTGTTAGGACGAAATTCAGTAGTTTCTCCTGCATTCTGTCTAAATGACAGGACGTTCGGGAATACGGACAGGAAACATCACAAGATCACGGAGGAAAGGTAAGAATTGTGGGGAAATTTCTCTGACCACAGGAAACGGAGCACACTTTGCTCCTCCACTGGTCAGAGATGGTCAGGCGTAGGAAACTTCCATAAGAAAAATAGTCCATACTTTGTCTTATGTTTTAAAGAAAACTAGAGCAGACAGGAAGGAATGAAGATCCTGACAGAGGTAGAGAAGAAGAATCGAATAAAGAAAGGTAAGTTCGGCATGACTGCTTTAAGTTTTAGATAAACTCCGATTCAACAGATGCCATACTTTCAATGCCAGATCCCAGCTTAGAATAGGAACCCCCCCCCCCCACCCCCCCATTTACATACATTTAAATTAACTAATTTGGATAAATGTTGGAGGGGTTGTGGACAAATAGGCTCATTGTGTCACATACTGTGGACGTGTCCCAAGGTGGGCTCATATTGGAAATCAGTCCACAAATTAATATATTCAATCACAGATTCAATCCCCCAGTTGACCCCTGAACTTTGTCTATTTAAAAGTATTCCAAATCACCTTCCAAAACACAAAAAAATAATGCTAGGTCATATTTTAATTGCAGCAGCTACAGCCATGACCAGATATTGGAAAACTAATGACTTGCTAGAGATTGTATACTGCATTCTAATAAACATCACAAATTAATCTACCGCGCATACTCGGAATATATTATTATATTAAGACAAGAATGGGGAAAAAAAATGTCCAAAGCAAATACAATTTAGTAATAGGATACCCATTTAACTAAACTATGTAAATATATACTGTTAATATTGCAACAACTTTCTGTCATTTTGGAAATAGGATAGACTAAATAACTAAAAAAATATATTTTTAAGGATGATTTTACTAATTTTTTTACAAAATATTTTATTGTTTCGTTTCTTTTTATTATTTTTCTCACAATTTGTAATTTTTCTATTTTATTTATTTTTGAATTTGTTAATTTTTCTTTTTTTATTATATTGTTGGTAACTTTGTACATTCATTGTTGTTAAAACTCATGTATTATCAATGTGTATTGTCGATATGTTTATTGTTATTACATTATATGTATATATATTTTAAAAACTCAATAAAAATATTTGAAACAGATCCCAGCTTAGCCCATGGAAACTCCCCGGTATTTTATAATGTGTTTATCCAGTATAACGCACAGTGTGCAGTACATTACCCAGTGGAAACATGAGTGTCTAAATGCCTGAAATGCCTGTTTGTTAAAATATACCAGGTCTCTCTCCCTTGGGGTTCTTCCACTGCTGCCCGAGAGTAATGGGAGAAGTAATTTAAGAGCAACTGGACAGCTGCAAAATGATTGATTTTTGTTGCTCACATGAATTTATGCATTAGTATTTATAGTTCTGTCTAAAGTGGGTGTTTCCTCTGTACTGCAAACATGCAAGAAAAACAGAAAAGATAGGAGAATTTCCTATAAATATTGTTTGCAGAGTTTTATTCAAAAATGTTTGAAGATTGCAGTGAAATCTCCATAAATTGCTCCAAAGTCTTTACTCTTCTGTCAAGAGATGCTAACTCTATGCTGCAAAATTGCTGTAATCACTAAAAGACTATACAAAAAATTAAATCCGTAAGGCTGTAAGAAAAGTTAAACATACTTTATTACATTGGAACATTTAGAATGTTGGGAATAAATTTAGAAAGCAAGGGGCATATTGGCTATTACAGGACGGATTGTTTTAAAAATCATTCACACTTGTGGACAAAACCTGTACACTTAGTGAAAACATCACATGTAATAAGACCCCTACACACAATACTAATGGGAAGTGAAGTTCAGAGTCTGTCCTATAGTGTGTGAATATTCTTTGCCAAGGACAATGCCATAATATTTGTTAACATTTTTCATACTGTATGAGCGAAAATTAAATCATTTTTTCTTCTGCCGACATACAGCCCACTTTCAGAGCACAGTACACCAGAATCTCTAAGGAAAGTTTTAAAGGCCTTACTTAATCATTTGTGGCATTATGTCCCTTCGTCCTAACATGACCTTGTGGAGAAAGTCATTTGTGTTGCTAAAAAAAGGATGCAAGACATAGAAAGAGACAGATCGCACTCAGCCTTCAGCTGCTTGTAGCTACATACCATCAGCCACTCACTGGCTCACATTGTAAACATCACTCAGAATGTAACAATTACAGCATACACTGGCATCAGACACTTAAAGTGCACCTGTTACGAGTGGGCTGCACTTTAAAGGGACAGCAAGTGGCTTATGGGAGAAGCTAAAATACCCATTTAGGAATAATACATGGAATGCAAAATATGCATGCCAAAAAAACAACAACAATATATAACTTATATAATTATGTTTTCTGTGCATACAAGTGAATCTTGTTTTGGTTCAAGCGGGGAGGTTTAATTTATTTTTCTGGAATAAAGCATGCCATCTTTATATAACCAGATTTCAACATGGTCATTGATAGAAAGAAAATGACTATCCACACTGTGGATTTACCAAAATTCATGAACTATAGAGAGAGTTAATAATAAAAAATTAAAAAAATTCAAAACTCAGATTTTCTTTCTGGAATATCTTCGTTAACATAAAAATAATGCATAACATAGAACAGTGAAATACAAGTAGAATCTCTTGCATTTAAGAGGTGCAAACGGTCCTACATTAAAATTGGATGTATGAATCTAATCAATAAAATGTCCTCACACCTTAGTGGTAGTTTCTGCTTAGTTACACAGCTGATACAACATATTTGTTAATAATATAACATAGGGATCGGTTAGGTCACAATGTACTCAACATATGTCCTACTGAACTTGGTGTGAAAATTGCCAGATATCCCTTTAGATTCTAACAATGTTGTTAGTGTTTATTAGGGTATTGATCCTTACAGGATAACGGTCTTCTAACTCTTTACAAATATGACAAAATTCTATGTGACAGAGATCCTGATACCAAATGTATATATTATTATAATATTTTTTTTTTACAAGTTATTTTGCATGAAATATTTTCCTTTGTACTTCAACTGAGGGTAGTTGATCGTTGGAATAGCCTTCCAGCTGAAGTGGTAAAGGTTAACACAGTAAAGGAGTTTAAGCATGCATGGGATAGGCATAAGGCCATCCTAGCTACAAGATAAGGCCAGGGACTAAAGAAAGTATTTTAAAAAATTGGGCAGACTAGATGGGCCTAATGGTTCTTATCTGCCGTCACATTCGATGTTTCTATAACTGCTGAGTTGCCAAAAGTCGAAGACTAACAAGATTATTTACTAAAGTCAGAATACAAAGTGAATATCCAATTTAAGGCCAAAGAAGCCATAGTTCAACTAAATTGACCTTAAATTAAAATTAAATTAACCCTATAAATAACTGGCCACAGTTGGTTGAAATCACATATCCATAGAGACTCTTACATGGTGCCATGTTTGGGTGGGAATCATAAATAAATCGGACAGTGAATAAATTGAAATTTTATAATACGCTTGGTTTAACCTGCATATTTTTTTTTCTTTTAAAGATTCCCAGGGTATGAGGTATGAGGACGGGGACGGGAACGAGTAAGGATTTTGTTCAGATTTTTATTCTATTTTTCCTTATCCGTTTAACACTTTTCTACGATCAACGCCATTTTGTTTTGCTTTAACTCTTTACAATCTTTTGAGTTACTCTCTTAAAAAAGGTTAAATTCACCTTAGTAAAGCTGAACACCCATTTATATATCTAACTATTTAAGAGTTTATTGTGCGTAAATGCCACATTGTATCACAAGTGGAAACGGTCTTGTGGATTTTGAATTGATGTTTGTACTTTTTCTAAAATACATACAAGCAACAACTGTTCATTCAGTTTATTCCCAGAAGTGCCATCAACATATTCTTCAACACTAAATGTTCTAAAAAATAAAATCGGAACTTACCGCAGCAATCATGATAGCATTGTCCAAGAAGCCGAAACCTACAAATGGTAGTGCATTGTGGATGAATACTGGAAAAACAAGAAAATTTCCATAAATTATAACCAATAAAAGGGAAGCGCAAAGGGCGTTTATGTCCTGTAACATATATATTAATTATCTAATAAATATTCTTCATGTAAATGGATAGTATCATATTACTGCCCTTTGTCAAATATTAAAATTATTTAAACAAGAATGATATTATGATATTATGATATTTATATAGCGCCGTCAAATTCCGCAGCGCTTTACAATGGGTGGACGAACAGACATGTAGTTGTAACCAGACAAGTTGGACACACAGGAAGAGAGGGGTTGAGGGCCCTGCTAAATGAGCTTACATGCTAGAGGGAGTGGGGTAAAATGACACAAAAGGTAAGGATAGTATTAGACTAGTGACAGTTGCAAGAGAGGAATCAGTCAGGTGCTATTAACAGTTTAATTGATACGCGTTTATGAAGAAGTGGTACATTGTGTTCTTTTATGCTTTTCAATATGTGTCACTTGATATAGACGTTATCACCTCAGAAGGATGGAATCCTGTGTTAACTCTATTAGGCAGATCATGTAAACTTAAAATAGCTACTACAGTTAATACATTAAAAAGACTCTCTATAGGCACCAAAACATTGTTAGTTCAGTGAAGCAGTTTTGGTGTATAGAACATGCCCCTGCAGTCTCACTGCTCAATTCTCTGCCATTCAGGAGTTAAATCACTTTGTTTATGCAGCTTTGCACATGACTTGTACAGCCTTCCTAACCATTTTCTGAAAAATAACAAATATGCCAGGTTCCTGTACTGCACAGTCTGTTTAATCTAGAATTTCTTATCTCCTGCTCCGTTAATAGTCCTAGACCCTACAGGAGCCTCCTGTGTGTAATTAAAGTTCGATTTACAGAGCAGGAGATAAAAACCTCTAAAACAAGTCAACATCTGACTGAAAATGAAACTGTTTTTCATGGGGCGGTGTGAGTCACGGCGAGGGGAGATGTGGCTAGGGCTGCAGTAACAGAAACAAAAGTGATTCAAACTCCTAGTGGCAGTGATATATTAGGTATACTGTTCATTATTGAGGGGCTAATACAACAGACGCAAACCATTAAATTGTAAAGGTACAAGTTAGTTTGTCTGTTTTTTTGTTAAACTACACAGTTCTATAATTCATAGATGTTATACTTATTTTTTGGCATCACAAAAGATATGAAAAGGAAAATCCAATATGAAAACTGCCCGTCTAGATCTCTTTTAGCAAATATTCTCAAACTGTCAATCATTGCATTGCAGTAGAATGAAGATCTGTGTCAAACTGTGATTTCATTTTGTGTGTGGCAGCCACACTCCACATGTAATCTTAAAATAGCCAGCATGCAAAATACAGAAATACAGAGAGACCACACAAAAAAAAAAATACACTAAAAAGCATCACATTATGTATTACCACATGATTTTAACCTAATAATATGAGCTATACATTAGTCATTGTTCACATTGCAAAAATGATATTTTGTAAAATGAGGGTGTATAATTTTTCAGATTTGTAAAATATGGCTGGAGGGGTTTTGCTCCTTGGATAAAAGCTTAAATTATACCCGCTGAGGACAAGCAAGCGGTGTGTCCTACTTTCTACTGCCAAGATACGTAATTACTATTATCCCTTCCTTCACATCTAGAGATTCTAAATCTTTCCATCCCAACACGTTAAATACAGCAATACTCTGTAATCTATAAGCGCTCTCGGGTGTGATCTTAATAATAGACGAGGGAACAGATAAAATAAAACGTGCAATGGGACTGCAACAAGTTAAAAATTTCACTCTGCATTATTTTAGCTTGTGGCAATAAAAATTATAAATTGCAGGCAAATATATAAAAAAAAATCTTAATATCATGGTGACATTTTCAGCGGGGTGACCTTTACACAAATTAGTTTTCAAGCTGTTTTGTGTGTTTGTACTCCAAGATTTATTTTCAATGTATCCCAAACCCATCAGGCATTCGTGATTCCATTGTTTTTAATCTATGCATGGTTTAATGGATTTTCATATTGGACACCCCCCAAGGGTTTAAACGAAACATTTGCCCCCAAGGGTTTAAACGAAACATTTGCCCCCAAGGGTTTAAACGAAACATTATCTTACCATTCGTTTCTTTAAATACAACCTGCTTGTTATTTGTTTTTACTAATGTGATAGAGGTAGATTTGTGAGCATGCATAACATCTGTCAACACTAAGAAATAGGGCTATATATAAGATTAAGAAAATAATATGTGGCCAAACAATGCCTTGCAACCTTTGGAAATTATGGTACGGTTGTCCATCTGGTATAATAAGTTTCAAGTTCATATCTCATATGTTAAGTATTAGCTCATTATTTTAATAGCTATACGTATATGTATATAGTATAGTAGCTATGTATTTTTAAAACACAAATGTTAAGCACGTGTTTCACTTATTTTGACCACTTAGTTCGTCCACTGGTTTAGTAATCTAAGTACTTTATGCACTTATATACCAACTTGTAACTGGCTACATTTTAAATATTGGATTAAGGCACTTTATAAAGTGTTGGGCACTTTGGAATACTTTAGACACTTTAATATTTATACACTTTACAATTAGGGCACTTTATAAAATAATATGCACTTTTAAGAATTTCTTGCACTTTTTTTCTTTTAAAATAATCAGGTGCACTTTATAAAATTATGGCAATTCAAAAGTATAAACAGTTTATATCCAAGTGCACTATATGCACTTTTATACTGTACAATTAAGACACTTTAAAATAGTTTTGCCTGGGGTATTATATAATGTATATATGTACCTAGTTACAGGCTATCATATCACTTTCCTAATCCAATATAATTCTTCTTTATCACTTGTTCTTATGATATATAAACTCATTAGAAGTGAACTTACTACATGTTAATGTTTTTAGTCACTCTTTGCATGCTTTCGGCTTTAGGACTGCATGTGGGTCACTACATGAAGGATTATAAATGCAGTAACCACGCAGATGAGTGCCGCGTCGCCATGACAACGGTGGCACGTGACGTCATCCCGTGATTGCGTGACATCACGGTAGGGGCGTGGCCACACGGGAGCATGCGCAGTCTGCACACAGGGATGCCGAGAGCAACACGTCGATTTAAGGATTATCATGTTTGAATAAAGGAACTTTTCTATTGAAGACCATGAGTGCAGCCAATATTTATACTTTCACATTTTTTATATATATATATATATACATACACAGTGGCGTACATACCAGGGGGCCCGGCCGCCCCTGCGACCCGGTATGTACGCCACTGGGCCAGCCTCTTCCCCTGGGGGGCCCAGGAGCCGACCACCCCAGGGCCCCCCGAGGCTGGCCCTGCTGATACCCGGAAGGCGGGTGGCTGGTCCGGCAGGCGGGCGCGCGGGGGAGCACTCAGTGCTTCCTCTTCAGCTCCCTCGCGCACCGCACTGATACCGGAGCCGGAAGATGACGTCATCTTCCGGCGCCAGCATCCCTGCGCGGCGCGCGAGGGAGCTGAAGAGGAAGCACTGAGTGCTCCCTCGCGCGCCCGCCTGCCCGACCGGCCACCTGCCCAGGAGCCCAGCAGCACCACTGGACCCCAGGGAATCCCCCCAGCACTCCAAAAGGTAAGGAGGCTGGGGGGATTACATTTAAAAAAAAAAACAACATGTGTTAGTGTGTGAGTGTTAGAGTGTGTGAGTGTTAGAGTGAGTATTAGTGTGAGTGTTAGTGTGTGTGTGTGTCTGCTAGTGAGTGTTAGTGTGTGTGAGTGTTAGAGTGTGTCTGCTAGTGAGTGTTAGAGTGAGTGAGTGTGTCTGCTAGTGATTGTTAGAGTGAGCGTTAGAGTGTGTGAGTGTGTCTGCTAGTGAGTGTCAGTGAGTGTTACTGTGTGTGTCAGTGAGTGTTACTGTGTGTGTCTTACTGAGTGTGTGTGTTAGTGAGTCTGTTTGATGTCTGTTAGTGAGTGTGTGTGCTTGTCAATGAGAGTGTATGTTTTGTAAGTTAGTGTGTATGTATGTCTGTCGCTGAGTGTGTCTGTCAGTAAATGTGTGTGTCTGTTAGCTAGTGTGTATGCGTCTGTAAGTGAGAGTGTGTGTGTCTTCAGCACTTACCTTTCTCCAGCGCCGGACTCCCTTGGCGCTGAGGATCCCTCAGCCTCTCAGCTCCGAATGCGACCGCGCACGCATTCAAACCGCCCATAGGAAAGCATTACTCAATGCTTTCCTATGGACGTTCAGTGTGCTCCTCTAGCGGCTGTCAGTGAGACAGCCACTATAGGCTGGATTAACCCTCAGTGAAACATAGCAGTTTCTCTGAAACTGCTATGTTTTCAGCTGCAGGGTTAAAACTAGAGGGACCTGACACCCAGACCACTTCATTGAGCTGATGTGATCTGGGTGTCTGTAGTGGTCCTTTAAAGGACCACTCTAGGCCAGACCACTTCAGCAATGGAAGTGGTCTGGGTCCAGGTCCAGCTAAACTTAACCCATTGTTTTATAAACATAGCAGTTTCAGAGAAACTGCAATGTTTATGAATGGGTTAAGCCCCCTAATCCTCTAGCGGCTGTCTCATTGACAGCCACTAGAGGCGCTTGCGTGCTACTCACTGTGATTTTCACAGTGAGAGCACGCCAGCGTCCATAGGAAAGCATTATGAATGCTTTCCTATGTGACCGGCTGAATGCGCGCGCAGCTCTTGCCGCGCGTGCGCATTCAGCCGATGGGGAAGAGAGAAGGAGGATCGGAGGAGGAGAGTTCCCCGCCCAGCGCTGGAAAAAGGTAAGTTTAACCCCTTTTCCCCTTTCCAGAGCCGGGCGGGTGGGGGCACCCTCAGGGCACTATAGTGCCAGGAAAACGAGTATGTTTTCCTGGCACTATAGTGGTCCTTTAAGTGTGTGTGTGCATCTGCATGCACTGGCGTACATACCACGGTCGCAGGGGTCGCAGCCCTGTAACCCCTGCGACCAGGTGCCCACCGCCATGTGTTGCGGCCCGGCCCGCGCGCGCGGGGGGCCCACGGATCAATTTTCGCACCGGGGCCCCATGGGTCATGTGTACGCCACTGTACATACACACACACACACACACACACACACACACACATACTGTATGCATATACCGTATGCATATGTGTGTGTGTATCTCACAAAAGGGAGTACACCCCTCATTTTTGTTAATATTTTATTATCTTTTCATGTGACAATGTAAAGTAGTAAGTATACAGCCTGTATAACAGTGTAGATATTCTGTCCCCTCAAAATAACTCAACACACAGCCATTAATGTCTAAACCGTTGGCAACAAAAGTGAGTACACCCCTAAGTGGAAATGACCAAATTGGGCCCAAAGTGTTAATATTTTGTGTGGCCACCATTATTTTCCAGCACTGCCTTAACCCTCATGGGCATAGAGTTCACCAGAGCTTCACAGGTTGCCACTGGAGTCCTCTTCCACTCCTCCATGACGACATTACAGAGCTAGTGGATGTTAGAGACCTTGTGCTCCCCCACCTTCAGTTTGAGGATGCCCCACTTATGCTCAATGGGGTTTGGGTCTGGAGACATGCTTTGCCAGAGAGGGTAGTGGATGCACGGAATATCCTTCCAGCTGAAGCGGTGGAGGTTAGTATTACTCTCTGTCAAGTAATACTTCCCGATATTATTTAGGACTATGTCCTCTTGTTGTGGTAGTTTTTCTTCTTTTAGGACGATTGACACTATAATTCAGAATATCATCATTCCTCTTATTTTATAGCAAACAAAATATCAAATAAACTAATTTTCTTCCAACACTAAGTAAATTACTTTAACAGAACAAATGCCAAAATATTTTTGCAACGCTGATAAACTTCAAGAAACTATAAAGGCGGGGTGAAATTCAGGAAATGTTAAAATATTTGGCACATACTTTAAAAAACGAAACCTTTTTCAATGTTATTCACCTGAGACCGTGTAAGACTAATGAGTCACATGACACCGGGGAGGGAAAATGGCTAATTGGGCCCAATTTGGACATTTCCACTTAGGGGTGTACTCACTTTTGTTGCCAATGGTTTAGACATTAATGGCTGTGTGTTGAGTTAATTTACACTGTTATACAGGCTGTACACATTACTTTACATTGTAGCAGAGTGTAATTTCTTCAGTGTTGTCACATGAAAAGATATAATAAAATATTTACAAAAATGTGAGGGGTGTACTCACTTTTGGGAGATACTGTACATCTTCCTGAGTTGTGTTTCAAAGCTGTTGTATACAGCAGACACATACTCTAAGGAATTCATGTATAAAGTGGAATGAGGCAAAAATGTGGTTCTTTGTTGAACTAATTTGCATACACCTACCCAGAATCCCTTGCAGTAGTGAGAGCACTGTGAAGGTGAGATTTCTGTGGGAAAAGCAAGTGTTTCTCTCTCTCTCGCTCTATAAATATATATCTATATATCTATAGAGAGAGAGATATACACACACACACACGCACACTTTCTCTCTACAAACGTGCCACATCTGCATCTTAACCCCTTCCCGACCGCAGACGGAAATTTTCCGTCAACCTTGTCCTTCAGTTAAGGACCGTTGATGGAAAATTTCCATCATTTACTAAAGTTAACCCCAGATCGCCACGACTGCGGGGTTAACGGTGCTCCGGTCTGCCTCTGTATTAGAGGGAGACTGGGAGCACCCTATCGGGCTGCCCCTGCAGCAGTGCTCGCTCTGACAGGCTGCACATGTGCTGTATATACTTACCTTCCGCCTCCCTGCACTTCCGGGTTCTGTGTAAAGTGCAGGGAGACGGATCAGTGCTGCTGATCTTCTCCCTGTGTAAAAAAAAAAAAAAAAAAAGTTAAATCCCACCCCCCCTTTCCCCTGCTTTAATAAAATTAACCCCTTCCCTGCCAATTGATAACTGACTACAGTGATCAATTGGCAGGGTATACATTTTAATGTAATCTGATTTTTTTTTTAACCCCTGAAGGTTAATTTTTTTTTTTTTTAACCCTCAGGGGTTACGTTTATTTTATTAATTAATTTAAATATTTCAACATTATATATTTAGCTAGCTGGGATGGGTGGAAGTTAGTGGGGAATTGGGGAATTTGGTGTTAGGCTAACTAGGGGTTAACGTTAAAAAAAGTTTTAAAATAAGCTTTAAAAAGGTAAAAAAAGTTTTCAAAAAATGTTTTAGTAATGTTTAAGTAAAAAAAAAAAATACCACCCCCCCTTTACCCAGTCTAAATAAAAATGAACCCCTTCCCTGCCAGTTGATCACTGCTACAGTGATCAAAATACAGGTCACAGTATTATACTGTAATCTAATTTCTTTTAACCCCTGAGGATTAATTTTTATTTATTTTTTAACCCTTAGGGGTTAAATTTATTTAATTAATTTAAATATTTTATAATTATATATATTTTGCTAGCTGGAGTGGGTGGGAGTTATGGGAGAGGGGGCAATTTACTGTTGGTGCTGCTTACTGCTAGTTAGGGGTTAACGGTAAAAGGAAAGTTTAGAAAAAAAATTAAAAATTTAAAAGTGTAAAAAAAAAAGTTAAGAAAGTGTAAAACATTTAATAAATAAAAAAAAAAAGTTTAAAAACGGGTTTTACAAAGTAAAAAAAATACATTAAAAAAATGCTCATTACCACTATACCACCACACGGGGGTATTGCTGTACGCAGCTGACATAGCTGAGCAACATATGAAGTATTATACAGTCGTAGCACACATACGATTTGCAAAATATACTGTGCAAACTCACTTTGTGTGTCAAAAAGGCAGAAAAAATGCTTATTACCACTACACTTGGTACAAGCTAGCGGAAAAATTATCCCATACTAAGGTTCAAAATATGCCTTTTGAAATACCCTGGGATGTGTTCTTTAAGAAATGGTATGCCTTTACGGTGTAATGGTAATATGTAGGCAGCTCAAGTGCTCCAAAGTGGGACATGGACGCATCAAAACCCTCCATGAAAATTCACACTTAAAAACCTTAACTTGTCTCGTCTCTTTTACAGCAGTGTAACCTCACAAAATAGTGTCTAGGTCATACATTGGGCATATTGTTTTACTCAGAAGACTTAGCTGAGCATAATTGGGGCGTTTGAACTTAGTGGCACATATGAAATGTACAAAATGCCTAGCAAAAATTTAACCGTATGTAAAAAATGCCCCAAATTATTTTTTACCACATACTTTGGCATATATTGGTGAAATAATGGGGGCATGTTAAGGCACAATATGCACCATATGAGATACCCTGGAGTGTCTACTTTTACAAATGGTAGGCCTTTGTGGGGTTTTGTTGAACAGTCAAATTGCTATAAAACCCCAAATTGAAGCATAGGCCCATTACATCCGCCTCTCAAAATTCTACTGTAAATGTTGAAACGGACAGGTCTGCTATATGGCACTGTAGCTTCACAAAATAGTGCCAAAGACATACAATGGGGGTATCGTTGTACTCAGCAGAAGAACACAAAATAAAACTTTGTACAGGAATAGCACACACCAGCTTTACACATGAGAAGTTCTTTGTTATAAGTTTGTGTGCCAAAAACCCCCAAAAACTAAATTTTACTCCAATATTTAGCAGAGATTGGCGGTGAAATGGCTACGTAGAAAGTGTCAAAACAACCTTAGGACAATAGCCTGTGATGTCTACTTTATATAAATATATACTTTTGTGTGGCAATTTTGTTTTCTTTTATGGCTATTAAGCTTACAAGACAAACATACCAAATTCTAAAATCGCTCCATATTAAAAGTTTATTTTACTCCTTGTGCTTTGTGACCTGTAACTACCAAAACAATCTTAAAATCCCAGACACATTATATATTCTGTAAATCAGAACAACTAAGTGAATTTATTTTTAATTACTTTCTTTAACCTGCACTAATTAGGCACACATTATTATTGCAAAAACTGTTAAAAAAAAATTTTTTTCTTTTTTCTTTCTTTTTTCTGTATTTTTTAAATAATAAATAAATATTTATATATATATAAATATATATATATATATATATGTTACATCAAATTAAAGCCCTTTCTGTCCTTTAAAAAACTGTATTTAATATGAGTCGGTGCAATAAACGAGAGAGATGCAAATTGCAGTTTAACGCATACAGCAAGAAAATGCAAAAATTGCTTGTGTCATTAAGCGCCAGACAAGCTTCTGAAGCTGTGTCCTTAAGGGGTTAATTTTAGATTCACCATTGGGATTTCATTCACTGCCAGGATAAAACCAGGTAATAAAAACATACGACTTGTGTCTTGAACTACATTTGCATTTAGATGCTGAAATATCTGGGTGGAATATGAAATAGGGCGCAGTCACTCACCGTGTCTTAGTTGTTCTGTTGTCGGTGGATCGACTTCGAGCTTCTCTATTAGAAAGAGAAATAAAATAGGACAAATTAGGGCACATTCATTCAGCACGGCCTCTAACTTAATCACAAAAGCCAAGTTAATTGTGGCAGAGCGCACAGAGCTTCGGGTGCAGACTTGCCATATAATTATAGACAGCATTTAAAGTTTATACAAAAGATTCTGCCTTTTTACAGGAATGAAATGCGAGGTAACTTTCACTAAACAGTTAATTGTAGTGAGCTGAAACTAAATACTGAATACTACAGCCATGCTGTGACTATAGCGGAGCTGGGACATGTTTCAAAATTAGCTGCTTTCAAATGACTGCAATTTCCTGGTTGGGGAACACTCCCTTCTATGCGGATCAAACAAATGCAGCCTCAATCCAGTGGCGGATCCAGAGCCTGATCTCGGGAGGGGCACTTGTAGATTATTTAAATAAATAATCCTGGCACAATAACCACTACAGCTCAGTGTAGTAGTTATGGTACCTGTAGTGCCAGGAACCCACCACAGAGTAAGTAGTCATACCGTTTAAGAACAGTTTGACAACTTACCTGGGGTCTGCTGGAATACAGGGCATAGGAGAAGTGGTGTGTGTTAGGGGTGAAGTGTGTGTGAAAGGTGCAGTGTGTATGTGAGCGGTGAAGTGTGTGTGTGAGTGCGTAAGGGCGGCACTGTATGTCAGGGTTGCAGTGTGTGTGTGTGAAGGTGGCAGTATGTGTATGGGGGGCACTGTATGTCTGTGTGGGGCAGCAGTGTGTGTAGGGCACTGTATGTGTCTGTGTGTGTGTATGGGTGTGCAGTGTGTATATGGGTGTGCAGTGTGTATGGGGACAGCATTTGTGGGACAGTGTGTGTATGGGGGACAGTGTGTGTATGGGGGACAGTGTGTGTATGGGGGACAGTGTTTGTGGGGCAGTGTGTGTATGGGGACAGTGTGTGTATGGGGACAGTGTGTGTATGGGGACAATGTTTGTGGAGCAGTGTGTGTATGGGGGGGGGGGAGGGAGGCTTTTTAATAAATAAATAAAAAAAATGTATTAAATAAAATAAATATATTTATGTCCCCCCTCCCTTCTTACCTTTATTGAGGAGGAGGGGGGACATTTCCCTGGTGGTTCCAGTGGGAATTCCTGGTGGTCCCAGTGGGGAGAGTGAAGTCTAGTCCGCGCTCCAGGGCTAGAGTTCACTCTCGTGAGATGTGGAGCGTTGCCATGGTAACCGCGGCAACGCTCCAAATCTCGCGAGAGGAGGATCCGGAGGAGCTGCAGACTGAGCTCCCGGGTCCTCTCCTCCCTCTCCCTCCCCCCGTCGGACCTGCTGCCAGCACATTGCCTGCGGACCGTCTGGCACTTGGGCAATGCCAGCCCTGCATTAGCCGGCAGGGGGGACTCTCGGGGGGGCAATTGCCCCATTGCCCCCCCGGATCCGGCAATGCCTCAATCAGAATCTAAGTTATCAAAAGCACTGCAACATGTACGCAGCATGAGACTATAGAATGGATTCATTGCCACATTGTTTAAACTTTATCGTCCAGATTCCACAGAGAGCTGTGCCTGTACAGGCACATGTTGGCAATCCCCGACATTGAGGTTTGTAATTAATGTTGATTTGTCACTTTCGCAAAGACCACCCAAAAGGGACAGATCCGGTTAGGTTCCAGTGGGTCCCGTGAGGTGCAGGGGAAGATAGGTTTATGTGTCAGAAGCTAACCATCGTGACCGCCACCATCTTCATCCTGATGGCCTTCCTCAGCTAGTGTTTACTGTGCAAGTAGCCATGAGGTTAATGCTGTACATGCACGAGAGATCACTTGAGCCTCCATAGGTCAATGCCTGAATCCTACAGCTGTCACTTTTTATGGCAGAGCTCCATCTTTTCAACCTCAGGCTTTTCCAAAAGACCAATAGTCCCTGCTTTGTCACTCAGACAGCCAGTAAGGTTTGCTATTCCGCTTCCATTGGCTCTACAGAGCTAGTGCATTTCCCATCCAGACCCCCCACCCCACCTCAATGAGCTGTACTACAACATTTGAAAGCTGCGTATGTTCGCATGACTCTAGCACGGAGGCCTATGTCTAGCAAATTCCATGGCACAGAGTTTTACAGAGGGAAGGATTTGCAGAGGCTAGAGACAGCAGGTGTGCAGCTTTTGCAAGCGGTTTCATTCAAATATCTCCAATAAAAACATTAAGTAAAAATACATGCAAGTATTTTTGGGGGGGAATATTAAATTACTAAATCTAGTAAATTATTTGAACAAAACTAAAACGTTCAATGCAGTGTTCCTTTTAAAAATATAAAATAGAAAAATAATTATCTGAGGATGAAGAACAACGCAATTATGTTTGTCTGCATTTACAGAAAATGCATTTATCTTTAACTATCAATATTAAGAAAACAATACACGTTATTAAAATATCATCTGGGAATAACTAATGGTATTGTATAAGAACAAGACCAGAATAGCACGATCAGGAAAGTATTAAATTATATACTTTCCTGGATATATACTGGTTTGGACGGTGAACTAGATTTTTTGCACCCTTGTGTGGTTGGTTGGTTAGTGCTGTTCTCATTTCTTATTTCAGAATAAAACAATGGCAAACAGCATATATATTATATATTCAGTTTCACTCACAATCCACTAGCACGGCACTCAAGGATGCCAGAGACAAGCAGATCCATCAGGAGTCTCAGTGGCATTTCAGATATCTACTAGTGCAAACTGTGCTGAGATTGCAAGTGGTGAGGGGCAATACTCCTTTTATGCAGAGCAGCACTTGCTCCCAGCACTTGTGAACAGTAATCCACATACACGCACACAACCCCACAAGCAGTCGCTCACATGCAATACCACAAGCAGCCCCATCCATACACAATCTGACATATCATTCACATTCACAATTCTACAAGCCGCCCCCATATTCAGCCCACATTAATAGATATAATACATAATACCACAAACTACTCATGAACATATACAATATAACAGCCCACATTCACTTAAATACAATGTTACAAAGCAACAGCAGTACCTGTACATAACACAAGCAGAATGCGACAGCATACACACCTCAGTTTATAAAAATAGGACCAGCATGCCAAGGGACTTTAAGATCATATTTGGTACAGTACTACTAAAAGGCTGCCTACCCTTGCACTATCCCCTGCACAGATTGAAACAAAGAATGTGACGGCAGATAAGAACCATTCGGCCCATCTAGTCTGCCCAATTTTCTAAATACTTTCATTAGTACTTGGCCTTATCTTAGATCTAGGATAGCCTAATATTACACGCATGCTTAAACTCCTTCACTGTGTTAAAGGGATACTGTAGTGCCAGGAATACAAAGCTGGCACAACCGATCCCTCTGCCTCCCTCCTCCTTCAAGCCCCCTCCTACCCAGTAAATAAAGGGTTAAAAATATTTTATTTACTTACCTTATCCCAGTGCCGATGTTCCTTGGCGCTGGGTCGACGCTCCGCCCCCTCCTCTGTCCTGCGGCGACCAGGGTCTAATGCGCATGCGCAACAAATGCCGCGCAAGCATTAGACCTCCCCAAAGGAAAGCATTGAATCAATGCTTGAGGTCCTCATGCAAAGCGTGAGGACATCCAGCATCAAATAACGGACCAAAAGTCCATTACGATTACAGAATTGGTTCTGATAGACAGCCACAGAGGGCAGACTTAGAGCTGCAATGCAAACAATGTAGCACTAGGTGCAAAAGGGACACAGTAGCCAGACCACTTCAATGAGCTGAAGTAGTCTGGGTGCCTACAATGTCCCTTTCACCTCCACCACTTCAGCTGGAAGGATATTCCGTGCATCCACTACACTCTCTATCAAGTAATACTTCTCGATATTCTTTTAGGAAGATTGACACTATAATTCAGAATATCCTCATTCCTCTTATTTTATAGCAAACAAAATATCCAATAAACTAATTGTCTTCCAACACTAAGTAAATTACTTTAACAGAACAAATGCCAAAATATTTTTGCAATGCTGATAAACTTCAAGAAACTATAAAGGCGGGGTGAAATTCAGGAAATGTTAAAATATTTGGCACATACTTTAAAAAAAACAAAACCTTTTTCAATGTTATTCAAAATGGCAAAATAGCTTAAGTTTTAATATTAATTACATCCAGTCATTTTCTGGGGTGGCAGTGGGATACATGTGGGGCACCAACAAATGAGCATTGAATATAAGTAATTCCTTCCCCCTAATGATTGTTTCATTAATGGTGTGAATTGCTGTAATTGTTCAGTTATCTTAAAATATTTTCAGTTATTTGAAATATTTTGCATCACGAAGTGAAGACAATGCATAGTTATGTTTGCCAGGCCGGCAGAAGCAGATAGTACGAGAGAGTCTGTTAAATATATATTGATATTATACAGAAACAGAGCAAGTTAGCAATTTAAACTCTCTGTGAACTTCTCTATTACAAGGCAATGCACTCAATTTAGGGTAATGTGGAGAGTGCACATCAACTGAATGGTACTGGAGCAGATATTATTTTGAATGATAAAAAAAAAATAAAAAAATAAAAAAATAGTGTAATAGAAGATGAAACCGTTCAGGCCTATGAAATCCCCATAGGTGCATAAAGAGGATCCTTTGTATTAGTAAGAGCTCTGCAGAGATCCCTCTGTTATCGCTCAACAGACAATGTCTAATGTACTTGAAAGCCATCCAGCCCAATATTGGAGCCGCCCTGGCTTGATGTACAGTTGTTTTAATGTCTCTAATGCTGGGTGACTGGAGGAAATTCAGCGGTAATTAGAATTGCGGGAACAGTCTTCATTAACTCTCTGATCCCCAGGATACACACTGTACAAAGTGTTACACACTACGCTTATACTGTATCAATCACAGCATTCCAAAATGGCAGACCCCCAGCTGTTTATGGCAGCATTAAGCCTGGCAAAGCACCATGGGAATTTTAAACCGGCAACAGCTAGGGACTTGCCTTTCTGTCCACCTCTGATATGGATGAAGAATTATCCGAATAATAATAAGAGAAGAGACTTTTCACATCTATAGGCAGAACAAAATGTACTTACTGCCCCTTTAATATCATCTTTTCTCTCTTCTTCACTGAACAGCTTTCCTAGACCCTACAATGGCAGTATCTCAGAATGATAGAAAACACTGCAGGCTAAGCTTAGTATCTTAGTATCAGCAGCTGGCTTTACGCTAAGGGATCGTCCAAGCACCAAAACGACTATAAGAAAGCTGAATTTGTAAATATATATTTTTTTAATTAAAATTTTTAACATTCTGCCACTTAATCCTACCTCCTCTATTCCACTTCCTCCCCTGGAAAATATTTCCTTCATGTCGGTTATTGTATCTTCATCCATCTCCCATTATGTCCCTTCTTTCTTCCCTCCACACTTGTAGGGTCCAATATCACAGTTCTACTAACATCATAAGCACACAGCAGGTAACAGGACTACAAGTTCCAGATATGCTTGTTCTGATTAGAAAAAAAAGACTGCGCACAATAAACTTTGCAGACTGATAGTCAGATCCTGCCCACACACGTAAAGGGATACTCTAGTGCCAGGAAAACAAATCCGTTTTCCTGGCACTATATAGGTCCCTACAGTGCCTCCCTCCCTTGAGCCCCTGCTCCCATTCGGCTTAAGGGGTTAACACCCCTTCGGTCACAAACCTAAATCCGGCGCCTATATCCCTCGTGCTGGGTCAGGCTCCGCCCCAACTCCTCCCCCACCGATGGCACTCGCATTAGGATTTCCTCATAGGAAAGCATTATTCAATGATTTCCTATAGGGATTCCAATGACACTGGAAGTCTTCATGCAGAGCGCGAGGACGTCCAGCGTCATTTAGACGACCAAAAGTCGTCTAAGCACCCGGAAGTCCCTCTAGTGGCTGTCTTGCAGACAGCCACTAGAGGAGGACTTAACCCCGCAAGGTAATTATTGCAGTTTCTGTTGGGTTAAGTTACATGGGACATTGCACCCAGACCACTTCAATGAGCTGAAGTGGTCTGGGTGCCTACAGTGTCTCTTTACTATTACACAAACAGGTGGTGTGATGGATTTATAGGTGTTATTTATAGGGTGCACAGGCCTCCCAGTTCTCAGATGGACAGTCCTGATTTTCGGGTCCTGTCCCATCATCCCAACTTTGTTCCCTAAGGTCCACTCAGGACACTAGGAGCCTGCTGTGAGCACTAACACAGGACCCTCTGTATGGTCTGTCCTCAGTGTGGACGGCCCGATTGATTAGCAGGCAGCTATGCACGCCAAAGAATAAATATAAATTTGAAGAAGAAAAAAAAGATATTCCTTACCAATGATGAATTGTTACAGTTAGACCATAAAAGCATTTACATCATTTCACCTAGGCTCAGATGTGCGTATTACTTAGAACATTACAGAACTGCTTAGAAAGCCTTTGTATTTCTATGCATTATATCAGATTATGTTTTCTTTTTGCTGAAATCATGCATTTGGCATTAGCCAAAAAAAAAAATATATCAGTAGGACTGCAGCTTATAATAGCAAGACTGTATGTACCTTAACCAGCCTATTTATGGAGACAGTGTTAGCCCAACAACTGCAGTCTAAATTGTGAATGCAATAAGCTTTAAACTGGATCCCAGTCATAAGTTCGTAAAATCATGCACACTGGGTATACCGCATGCCAAACAAAAAGCACAGAGCTGTCATAGAATAAATATACCAGCTGATAGCCACAGAGGTGCCACACTCCAACACACACATTGCCATACCACTGTCTTCATTAGCAGCCTCCGCCTGAGACTTCTTGACTGCAAAAGGCTGGGTCTTAGGATATCGGGAAGCTAGAGAGAGTTAATGGAGATTTTTTTTTTATGCTGGTTAAAAATAGCATCAAATAGTAAGCCATCAAAGTATGGCATACATCAACCCATAATTGTAGAAGAGGACAGGACACTCAAACACAGGAAGAGTCCATGGATATAACAAATGTATTCAATCGATATTATGAAGGATGGACAGATTCCCTGATCAATAAACTAGGATTAAAATGGACACTCCACTGTCCAAATAAAAAAAAGTAATAGTAAATATTACAATTAAGTAGGCACCAAATTTAACTATGCATTCTTCATTTGGTTTAGGTCTCTATGATCTCTTTGCAAACCCTCCCCTTCTAACCCCGCCTAGACTTTCTGTGACTGTCCAATCACAGACTTTCTAATGCGGTTCAGTGAGAAATCTTTGCAAGGCAGGTGCTCCACTGAGAACAGATTCAGTTGTCTGATTGACAGCCAGGGAGGTGTAACAAGGTTAATTTATAAAAGTTTCAATTTCTATTGAAATCTGCAGTTTTTGTAAAATTAAAATAAAAAAATAGCACACTCTTACCACACAAAGCATCTTTATGGGTCATGAGAGTCCATTTAAGACTGCACATAAATTGTACACTAGTGCAGCAACAAATTACATTCTAATCTCTCTTTTGTATGAACTATTACAAATGTGTCATCAAAAATGTATCGCTTTACTATCATTCAGGAATGGGAAAAAGGTAGTTCCTCACATCCTCACTACATCTCTGTGACTTGATATATTTTGCCAAGAATGATAGGTTGGAGCATTGAAGGCATTAGTTTATGATGAAATGTAGAAGCAATGCACAAAAAAAGAAAAAACAAACGGCACGGTATTTCAGGAAAATTATTTTGGAAACAATCCTTTGCTAATACTCGTTAATTATGAAAAATTCAACATGGCTGCAATTAATAGACCAAATTACAGCACATGAACACCAAATAAAACTAAAAAAAAGAGATCCACGCACCTGTAGGAAAGGGGGAAGAAAAGCATAAAACACTTGAAAAGGCCAAGAGAACACTGGACATGTTTGGCGTCTCACATTTTTTTCAACATCACATTAGTTTATGATGGATGAGCGCAGTATTAATTGCAACCAAACAGGCAGAGTACTATGTAAAATATATATTACCAGAGGAGTTCTCTAGGTTCTCTAGGTTCAAAATGACTAAATCAATGTGGTCACATTAGATATAAATATAACCATTCACTAGACTTATGCTACTGCTCTGACAAATGAACAATGCCTCTAAGGCAGGGTTCCCCAAACTCCGGCCCTCCGGATGTTGCTTGACTATAACTCCCATGATTCTCAGCCTATTTCATTCATAGAATTATGGGAGTTGTAGTTCAGCAACATCTGAAGGGCCGGAGTTTGGGGAAGCCTGCTTTAAGGTAATAACTTTTTATACTCAGTTTTATGGTTTATGATCTCTTCAGAGCCCCTCAATTACTTTTTCCCCAATTACAGAAACATTACATCAATCTGTCCGTCTGTCTGTCTACCAGTTTAGGTATGCATAATCTAAATATTCCCAAGGCATATTTAAAAGAAAGGACTGAATATATAAATAAAACATGTTACACAATATTGCTCTAATCGTTTCCAAAGGCAACAGCACTTTGTTACGATCCAAATGGACCAATCACCAGCCATGGACTGTGCATATCAACATGGCTTTGGTCATGTGGTGGTAATTTCCCTGAATATGAAATATATCTCAGTAAATTGTGAGATATATTGCTGTGCATTATTTACATAGCTCAAGGAAGAGTCAAGAAAAGACAGACCTCAGACGCATATCACAAACTATATTTATAGAATGAACTACATGTATTAGACATTCATAATCCAATTCTTTATTTTAAGCCATTCTGGCAGTTGTTGTTAATAGAAGAACAGGAACACAAGGAACAATTTTTCAAGATTCATAAATGTGTTTTTCCACGCAATTTCATATTAACAATTCATCGAGCTTTTCTCAAATTACTGAAATCAGAATGTTTCACACACACTGACTATTCTAAATCAAATTAACCCGACTGTGTGAAATCTCAAATGTCTCCATCCGAAGCGTCACTTATGTAGTAAATGAACCATGATAATAGGACAATGGAAGGATCACAATGAAATATGTTGCATTGTTATGTTCATATTAAGAGACATCCATTTAATTTTACAAAAAGAATAAAGCAGAATTTAACTATTCATTTTTAACTACAATCTAAACACTGACAGCATATTAGACAATGTTTTTGTTTAGAATTTTGAAAGGTTAAGATCTTTAACCCCTTAAGGACCAAACTTCTGGAATAAAAGGGAATCATGACATGTCACACATGTCATGTGTCCTTAAGGGGTTAACCCATTATTGTTAGAATTTGAGAGCCTGATTAATGGCCTTATTGCTCATTTTGTGGCATTATAGCAGTTTTACTGTTCAAATTACCCCACAAATTACCCCACATTTGTAAAAGTAAACACTCCAGGGTATCTCATATGGTATACATTGTGCCTTAACGTGCTTCCTTTTTTTATCACTGGTTAATGTCAAAGTTTGTGCAAATATTTCTTGCATTTTTTACATACACATATATTAACCAGTATTTTTCAAATTTGACATGCGCCACTATGATCAAACCCCCAAATTATGCTCATCAAAATCTTCTGAATAAAGCAATACCTTCAATGTAAGCCTTTGGCACCATCTTGCGAAGTTACAGTGCCATGTAAGACACCAGACTTTTTCTCTTTTTACAATTAGAATTTTGATAGGTCTATTCCATATTTTGGGTCATGGCAGCAGTTTGACAGGAAAAATTATTCTATAAATGCATACCATTTGTAAAAGTAGACATCACAGGGTGTATCATATGGTATATTTTGAGCCTTACCATACAGCCATATTAGAACAAATTTATTTCAAAGTTTATAGTATTATATTTTCACATTTTTTTGTATGCACATTGCAATTTAGCAGTTTATTTTGTAAACTGGATATGTGCTACTGTATTAAAAAAAAAAAAAACACTCAATTGTGCCTAACTATATCTCCTGAGTACAAAATGCCCTCCTTCGTATACTCGTCAAGTTTTTTTGTGAAAATACAGAGCTGAATTTCTAACCTCTCCACTGTAGGCTTTTTTTTTTAATCTCAAATTGAAAATGGGTTTTATGATTTTTAGTAGTAATGCATTTAGTAATCATTTGCAAAAGTAGACAAAATGGAGACTAATACATGATATAGTTTGAGCTTTTTTGATGTGATATTTTCTCACCATTTTGTGCTCCAAAGTTTGTGGCATTCATTTTTATTGTTTCATTTTCAAATTTTTTACATTGTATTTATTCTGCTTATATATGAAATTATCTTGTGTCCCACTGTGATAAAATTATCTTAACGATACTCAGCAACATCTGAGTATACACTACTCCATTTGTATACTGTTGCAAATAAATTTTAAAGCGGGTATGCCAGATATTCGATATTACTACTCCTCCATTCTATCCCACATAGAAGCCTTCTTCAGCCCAAAGGAACAACCTCTGTTGGCACAACCTGAAAATACCTATGTTGCACGTTACGATCTTAGCCAACTTTTATGGATTTTAAACAACAAATGCCCTACTCTCCAGGAAGCTCTGGTACTAACCCACCACACACAGTCTTGGATGCTCTGGTTGCCTAAATTTTTGCCTCACACCCAAGGACAACAAGGAGACTAGCACGCATCCATCAACTTCTGACTCCAAGGGTGGTGGTACTCCCTTTCGAAGAACTGCTCACTCCAATCTAACTCCCTCTTCACTGACTTTAGAGTCAAACATATCCTACAAACATCCAAAACAATGACACCCCATCCATCTCAGATATCTACGCCCATTTATAAATTCTGTTGCTGCTCTCATATATGTTGTTAACATCTATCCACATGCTACCACACAATCTTAAAACAATTAATGTCAGGCAAACTTATGTGTGCCATACAGTGAAAACGGAAACTCCATCAACAAATAAAGAGTGGTCTTAATCAGCACTCTAAATGAAGAGCATCCCAAAATGTATAACCCACTGGTAGGCAAGTAAAAAGCTGCTATACTGATGGTATTTAGTTCCAGCACGTATCGCACATACTGCTGGACATGTCTACAGAACACCAATACTTCATACATTCTGTGATTGCAACCAGATATCCTCTTATCAGGTAAATGTAACTGATATAATTAGAGATGCCGCACGAGTACAACTGCCTCGCTCACCGCAATGTTTCCTCCTAGATATAACCTACCAGACAATGTTATGGGAGCCCATAAAATGTTAATGCTCCACATCTTGATAGCAACTAGAATTCTTATAGCAAAGGCTTACTCCAGCCCCTTCAAACGACAAGAAATGATGAAGAAATGGCCCACTGCCTAATGGATATCACCAATAAATTCTTCAAAATTTGGAGTCCCTGGGTCACCTACTACCAGAGGAACAATTCATACTCACTCACAGCCCCTGTCAACACTTTCCAAAGCCTTCCCACCCCACCAGTTTGCAGGGTAGTCAGAGAGTAACTGGCTATTCTAATAGGTCACGAATGGCTGAACAAGTAAAGTTTATGATGTATACGTTGTTAGAATTGGACTGTTAAAAGTATGCATCAATATTATTGTGTGCTGGTTGTCTGTACCAAGGTCAAATTGTGATACCTGCAACACCTGTACTTGTAAAATGTCATGTATCATTTATATTGCTTTTCTTTACATTAAGAACAAACAAAAATCTATAGATCTATAGATGGCTAAATATCTATATGTATATGCAGTGGTGTATTTTGGTTTTGTGCTGCCCTAGGCTCCCATAAAACGAAGCAAACAAGGTATTTGCCTGGGCATTTGGGGGCGGCATTTTTTTGCCGCCCTCTGGAAATTGCCGCCCAAGGCAAATGCCTTGTTTGGCTCGCGGCAAATAGATCCCTGTGTGTATGTAGATTTCAAAGATTCCTTGCACTCATGCTTACGTAGCAATGGCCGGGTGCTTGAAGTCAATAAAGAACACATTTTTAATTTCAAAAGTCCGTGAGTGCTGGTCACCTCCCTGCTTTGGATAAATGTATATATAAACGGGCTGGAGTAACCCTTTAATATTTTTATTAAATTATGCAAATTTGATGACATTCCTTTTTGAAGAATAGAAAATAAAAATCCTGAACAGCACTCAGGAATTAGAAAGGGAAGAACGCAGTAAAATATGAACACACGCTGAGTACTCATTGCAGGGCATCCATGCACGTTAATGTCATCTCCACTGGCAGCCTTAGAATACTAGCTGTATGCGGATTACACTGGAAACGGTGGAAGCAGTTTCTGAAGATGTATATAGGCAATGCAGTTTAAAATAGCCCACAGATGCACTACACAGTAACAGGGGTCCGGGTGTCAAATCAATACACAAATTATATTCTCTGCACATTAATTAGGAGTAACAAATTCTACACTTTCTTCATGCTAATTATGAACAATATGTGTAATAGATCCGTCTCTACTCATGATAAAATATTAACCGATGAAAGAAACAACAAAATATAAATTATATATCCAGCAGGTACATTCCCAAATAAATATAAATGTATTTTTTTTTTTTTTATCTGCTACTGATATTTGAGGATATTTTGCAGCTTTTAGCATTTTCCTTTTCATGTTATACAGTAGGCAATCATTTATTCCCTAAAATAGACACAATTAATCCAGTAATTATTTTCCTGTGCAGACAAGCTCTGGGTTTTTTATGGTCGAGCCATTATATAGATCTTTACAGATCTGCTATTGTGGCAGTTAGATTTTTTTGTATTTTGTTTTAAACAAGACAATTAAATGCTATATTTTAATATTAAAGGAACACCCTGGGAACCATAACAACTTAATCTGTATGAAGTTACTATGCTGCCAGGAGGTCCTTGTAGTAGATTATTTTATGCAAACCAATTAGTTTGAATGACTATCTGTTCCTGTCCAAATTAAAGATAATAAAGTTGCGTGCACGCAGAAGTAAATTCACACTGAGACACAGAGTTCAGGTTAATGAAAGAACTTCGGAGAAGTTTAATGGCTTCTGACAGAAAATGGGTGCGCAGACCCTTTTAAAGGCATTTTTACATCACTGAAGAATTCAAGATAACAGCAAATAGACACTATTGATTGGTCCAGGTGTTAAGTGGTTAGTTAGATGCCCTCCTATCAAGAGGTGATGTCATCCTTGACACGGGAGTGGACACAAGATGTAGGCGCCATCTTGTTAGCACGAGGTGTTCACTCGATGGGAGGGGTGCTTTGACAGCCATTTTGAGTAGTTAGTATTGTTAGTTTCAAGGTTCTTTTAGTAAATACACATTTTATTATTCAGCACATTTCTTCCTGCCAAAGCATTAGCTTAGATAATTTCAAGAATTCTATAATTCTACAACATCCTGACACTGGCTTACCTTTAGTTTGTTAGCTCTGCCCTTGCCTGTCTGCTTTTCTCTGATTTTTAAAGAAACACTATATAGTGTTAGGAATACAAAACTATTCCTAATATATATAGTGTCCCTCTTCTCCGCACCCCTACCTTGGTAAATAAAGTGTTAAAAAAACAACAACAAAAACAACAACATTTTCCTGATTCCAAAACGGAGGTCCCCCAGCACTAGATTACGCTCTACCACCTCTGACATCAGCAATGGGGGCACCAAAGGTGCATGTACGGCGAGGGCCTAGCATGCATTAGGCTTTCCACATAGTAAAACATTGACTCAATTCTTTACTATAGGAATTTTCAAGATACTGGATGTCCTCATGCAAAGCTTGCGAATGTCCACTGTTGCTTCACAAAGCTAGGCTCCGTGAAAGGCCAGAAAGCACCTCTAGGGGCCGTCTGGCAGACAGCCAATAGAGGCAGTCTTAACCCTGAACTGCAGTCAGACCGCATCATTGAGATGAAGTGGTCTTGGTAACTGTAGTGTCCCTTTGAAACAGGAAGCCTCGGGACAGGGGTGCCACTAACTGGCTTAGAGCGTCAGCTAATGCTCTAAGTCAATCAGTAGATACCCCTTCACAAAAATGGCTTGATAAACATACATTTTTTTTTTTACCAAGCCGCTTTTAACAATGGTGTACTACTGCTTGGTATAGAGTGTCAGCTGACACGCTCAGCCAATCAGAGGCACTCCTATCTAACGCTGCTTGTTTCAAGAATCAGAGAGAATTAGAGAGACAGGGATAAACTGAGCAAGAATTAGGGGTTAAATTGTTCATGGACCCTTCAATTCCTAAAGGGAAACTGGCAGAAGGCACCATAACAACGTAATTCCTTTCTGTTAAAAAGCTGAGAAAATTGAGTGGATAGGACACTATCTGCAGTATCTCTGAGCCACATTTTAGAAGGTGAAGTATTTTGTCCTTTCCAATGATGAAATGAACATCATTAAGTTGGGTAGCAATATCTATACCTCGGGAAGTTCTTGAAATCTAGTAATTATTGAGGTAATATTATCTGGGGAACACTCTTGGGATTGTCAGACTTAAAAGGTGGTGATTCAAGTTGCTTTCTATTCCTTCTCTGTCTAGTGCTAGACCTACAATTATCAATTAAAAAATATAAAAACACTAGCATTTATACATTTTCAATATTCTAAAATGATACAAAAGTAAACAACAAAGATGATTGACTGCCAAGCTCTGTGCACAGAAGAAATAAGTGAATACAAGACATACTTTTCAGATTATTACACAGGGTGAGGTAGCCACAAGATGCTGGCTGGCTGCCCGCCACTCTGTGCCAGCCAACGTGTAGTTATTCATTGGGAGGAACACCTGATTACACGTTGATCTATAGAATTTTAATGCAAGCATCAACGGACAGAGTCAGGTTTTTATATTAAAAAAAAGTGTATTGATAAAAAAATAGTAATACATTAAAATTCAAATGCCATGTTCCTCTTAAATCAAATTCAAATATACATTCCTCAATGTGTATTTTAAGGGATGGTTTCTGCATTTTGGAACAGACCAGTGACTGGCACAGACTGGATATGATAGTGAAAGATATGGATGGACATTTGCTTTGCTAAGTGTTCATTGGAATAACCGAAACCAAGTAGATTTGTAGAATAGAAAGCTTCCGTCAGCACTTAGCAGCTCAGTGTGGCTACACAATCTAGAATGATGACTAATCTCAGCAATAAAGCCGCCATCATTTATCAGAAACCGCTGCATTGGCTTTGATATACAATGAAGTGCCTTGCAACCAGGAATAGATTTATTTGTTCTTATGTGAAGGCCAAACTTGCTGAGCTGCTAAAGTATCCGGAATACAATTATAGAAAAGGGCAAAAGAAGAATGACTGCTGGCTATACTGTTATTTTTTATTTAAGAATAGCCAGTGTATTCTGCTGCGCTGTATAGAGGGTTAGCACAGCAAGTTAAATGAACAGCAACCAGAGCAAACAGATAATCTCTTATTACCCCATGCCATGTGTGTTCAACAGCGTATTTTCAAAAATATTCTACACACTTCACATATACAACACCTTTAGGCACCTGAAGACAACTATCAATTACAAATGAAAGGCAATCTCTAATAGTGGTCAGTATTGCAGGGACTATAATGTATTAAATTCTACAAGCTTTCATTAAATCACACACCCTTCCGGTTCTTTAGGACAACAGACAATAGGAAGATTTATCAAATGTGTTGTGAAAAGAGGTGGAAGGTTGTAAGTGGAGCAATCACCAATGCAATAAACATGCCGTTTCCATGGCAATTGCCCCATTTATAGAAAACAGAAAAAAGTCAGATCAGAGTGCTTTCAATGAACGCCCCCAAATGAACTGCATTCACATATAACACAAAGTAGAGAGATTTATAAAAGTGCCATTATCAGAAAAAGAAATGTGGAAACCAAGGAAACAAATGGAATCCATGGGTACAATCAATTTAGCAAGCGCAACACTTAAATATTTGTAGCATTTGATAGTGAGTGACACTTTTACAAATATGCAGCATGTATTGGGATCTTAGGAACAGTCAGATAAACATATTAACATGATCAGTAAATGTATCCCAAACGACAAACAGTTACATATTGTATAAATACTTAGCAGGGGCCGGAATACTTAGATTATCAAGGGGTTTATTCTCTTAACACCAAATTGTAGTGACAAACACTGAATTGAAAAATTCCAAATAAACTAAACATACTGTACTTTAGTTGGAGAAATTATTCCAATCCAGCACTTAAATATTTCAATTTGGATTTCAATTCACTACATATGGACAAATAAACCTCTTAGATGGATAAACAGACTATAATGAGTTATAACACTAGAATTCATTCCTATATGCTACATATCACAGCAAAATGTGTGTCCCAGGCCAAACAGTTAGGAGATACTCTGTATCACTGCATTTAACCCTTGGATACTAAGGGAGTATGCAGAGCAATCAATGGGTTAAACGAATACAGCTGCAAGGAAATATGTCGTTGCTCGACCAGGATTTTCTCGTCATGCATTTCTGATTCCAGCAATTATTCTTCCAGCAGTCTAACAGACTATGTTCTGTTGCATCTGCCAAAGCATCTCAGCTACAAACAATTTCATATAAATTACCACATTTACTGGGCTAAAAATACATCTGGAGACTTGCAGCCAATCGCGTTCCTCATTGCAGCATCGTTAGATTATTTCAAAGTAAGAAAATTATTAAAATAAATACAAGGGTTTGCATCATATAAACCATGTGTAAACCACATATACTGCCACAAATAAATGTAAACAAAGCCGCTTTAAAAATACAATACTGCTGACAGGAGGAAATAAGAATATTATGGAGAACCGTTATACAGCAACATATCAAATTTAAGATGAAACATAGATTTTTCAGATTTATATCCTTAAGAGAACACTTTAGGCACCAAATCATTACAGCCACAAGTTTGAGATAAAAAACAAGACTCTTCTGGCCATAGCCTGCACCCTCTTCAGTTGTTAATACTGATTGATAATAAGTTATACTTCCAAGTGCATTCATGTCCAAACCGTGTGGCAAGGAATGTCTATACGCAATGGAAGCTGGTTAGACCCCCCCCCTCCAGCCCTCAGCAAATCATGTCTTACTGTCATAACCCCACTATATCCCCCATCTAATGTTCGTATTAGGGATTCCAAACCAAACAATTTGCAATAAATTTGGTATTTAAAGGCCTTCCACACATTAAATGTTATGGACACCCATAATTATAAAAGTATGAGCTCAAATTGTTATTTCTGCAATGGAAGAATAAAGAGGATATTTTCTTGTAAAAATATTCTATTTCCATTTTAAGTCAGTGTCCCTTTTAGACATGCCCCCCATCATTCTCAAGTCATACAAAGCATCATGGGAGTTGTAGTTCTACAACATCTAGGGATCTTTTTTTTTGGCACCCATGATCTAAAACAATGTGTCTCTCTAAGAAGTCCCAAGCCAAAATCAGTTACCAGAGGCGCCCACATTCTACACAGGTACAGAGATTATAGGTAGCTTAAAGCGTTCTCGTTCTTCCCATTAAACAAAATCAATAAGATTATTTATACATGGAAACCGGTTTCATTTTTAGTCACTTACACTAAATAGTTCACTGTTACAGGCAGAGATATTTGCTAAACCAGTAACACAGAATTCCGTTTCGCCTAAGCCACAGCAGGGTACTGAAACACTTTCCTTGTTGTGAGAAATGTTCTGAATTCTTTCTGACTACATTTCACAGGCTGACAGAATTCTAACGTGTAATTTTTTTTTAGAAAACAGAGTTAATTCAAAATGAATTTCAAATGTTAGGCCAAAACAGCTGATTTGGAAAAATGTATGCAAGTCAGGTGTTTTGTCCCAGAATATGTGGCATTTCAAACTTAAAGGACAACAGTCACCTCAATACTATTTTTTAATATGATGATCAAGTTTTGAAATGAAATATATGCCAAAAAAACGAGAATATGACCGAATCCAGCAGCCATATACACATACCTTTGGTCAGACAGTGTTTTAAAATCATTAGTTTGTCTCTATGGTCTTCCCTGCTTCATTCCCAGCACAGTGCAGTGATATGAGACCAACTAACCAGGGCCGGATAGGAAATTTCCCGGTATCCCGGTGGGCTGGAGATAGAGAGGGAGCCCTGCTCTCTATATTTTAATAATATTTCGGCCGCATGTTGGTGCCGCCGGGTGACCGGTCCGGCGGTACACTCTGAGGTGATTACTCACCTTGCAGCCGGCGGCCCCATCTCCTGTGATGACAGCTATGTTGCTGTCAGTATCAGTGAGTGTGCCGGCGGCCACTTAAGCGATCCAGCAGCACACTCACTGATACTGACAGCAGCATAGCTGTGAGCACAGGAGGACTGAGGGAGGGGGCGGCGCTAACTACCGTGCTCCCTTGCGGTTCCCATAATTCCCAGCATCTACACATCATAGAGTAATCACTACCCTATGATGTGCCCATGCTGGGAATTATGGGAACCGCGAGGGAGCACGGTAGTTAGCTCCGCCCCCTCCCTCAGTCCTCCTGTAACAAGGTCCGCAGGCACACAGAAAAGGAGGGGAAAGGGGAAAGGGAAGGGGGAGGGGAAAGGGGAAAGGAGGGGGCCAAAAAGAGTGGAAGGGGGGACAAATAGAGGGGTAATAGAAACACAGGGGAAGGGCTCTGCATCACATACACTGCATCACACACACACACTGCATTCATTATATACACACACTGTAAATAAATATTCAATTAATATAATTTTTGGGGGATATAATTTTATTTAGAAATTTACCAGTAGCCGCTGCATTTCCCACCCTAGTCTTATACTCAAGTCAATAAGTTTTCCCAGTTTTTGGGGGTAAAAGTAGGGGTCTCGACTTATATTTATTTTTTTATATACACTCATTTAACAAGCAATCCACTGCCTTTCAAAACCTGATAAAAGAATCGACATATAAAAATAGTGTTGAGGTGGCAATTATCCTTTAAATAACCGTGTCCAAACCTGTCAAGTTACACGTCTGTGTTGTGACATCTGATTTTCATTTAGTCATCGCAATCACCAAAAAGACAGTCTCTGTCAGCGGGTATCGGGAGGACAAAGGAAAGTGCATGAAATATTTTCACTTGCTCTGAACTTTTAATGCCGTATTTAAGACCAACAGCCTAACATAGCGTAAGGACAAACCCACCTCCAGGGCCACTCACCTCCTCCATCTCCCAATACCAGGTCTGCCAAAGTTGGCACGTCTGCGGGGCTATTAGCCACAGTCATGGGGCCAAGGATGGACACCTCTCTATAACAAAGTAGAGATGCGTTCTGCACAACAAATTCTACATAATTATTTACTCCCTTGTCTTGAATTCAGTTGCCAATTTTATTTTCAGAACTACTGGTTCCTTTTATTGGTTCCCATTCAGGAGAGCATTATGTCTATCTTAATAAATGTTGTGTGTTAAGTTATGAGTTTCTGGGGTTACTTTTTTTTGTTTTTTAACATTTTCTGCAAGTGCCAAAACAAGACGGTGTAGGACAGGGTAGGCAACCTTCGGCACTCCACGTGTTGTGGACTACATCCCCCATAGTGCTCTTACACCCATGAAGCTGGCAAAGCATCATGGGAGATATAGTCCAAAACATCTGGAGTGCCAAAAGTTGCCTATGCCTGTAGGTAATGCCTGCCCTCCGATACAAATGTAACAAATGTAAAATGATCTGTGGTTTGCTAGATACACAGGCATTCTGGGAGGTTGTTGGCACCTGTTACCAAAACATAGAGTGAAGGGAAGTTTGTTGCAAACAGAGTAAGTCGGTAAATCGTTAGCTTGAGGGAAGAAATAAAGCACTGACAGCAACACAGGTTTAACTGTTAAGCGGAATTTCAAGCACCATGAATAAAGACAGGAAGTCACCATGATCTGGAGCGATACAAAGCTTTATTGGTACTTACTAGATACTAGTCAGATAGCACTGCATCATAAGTGGAGCCAAAGTAGAAACACAATATATTCCGGACTCTGCAGTCCTTACTCTCAGGACCATAAGCACCATAACTACTATATGTAAGTGAATTGGTTATGGGTTTTGAGGCTTTGGGTGATATTCTCTCCTTTTTGGGGGAGGGAGGGGTGAAATTTTTTGTGTGGTTTACCAAAAATAAAACCGGTTTTCCTTGCACACAAAGCCCAGCTCCTCAGATGCCAATGTCATAAGGCCAAGGGTTAATTTTTGCACACTGGACAGCACCAATAGGCTGTATGCCCATGTACCTAGGCGTCACATGTGAGGAAGATGTGTATAATAAGTGCATGCATGCATTTACCTCAGTTATAGAAACCAGGAGCATCAAGTAGAGTTAAAGTGGCTCTACTTACACTCCCCCAATAACACAATACAAACGATACAACACAAAGGAACAACTTTGTCTGATGTAGTTTCCTTACGTCTGACAAAACTTGACAATTTGTCACTATTGGCAGGTGTGGGGAAATGTCTTAACTATCCTCCATCAGTGTTGTACTCACACGCATGCACTCACATGGGCTACTGAGCTTAAAGGACCACTCTAGGCACCCAGACCACTTCAGCTTAATGAAGTGGTCTGGGTGCCTGGTCCTTCTAGGGTTAACCCATTTTTTAATAAACATAGCAGTTTCAGAGAAACTGCTATGTTTATGAATGGGTTAAGCCTTCCCCCTAATCCTCTAGTGGCTGTCTCATTGACAGCCACTAGAGGCGCTTGCGTGCTTCTCACTGTGATTTTCACAGTGAGAGCACGCCAGCGTCCATAGGAAAGCATTGTAAATGCTTTCCTATGTGACCGGCTGAATGCGCGCGCAGCTCTTGCCGCGCGTGCGCATTCAGCTGGCGGGGAGGATCGGAGGAGGAGAGGAGGCAGAGAGCTCCCCGCCCAGCATTGGAAAAAGGTAAGTTTAAACCCCTTTCCATTTTCCAGAGCCGGGCGGGAGGGGGTCCCTGAGGGTGGGTGCACCCTCAGGGCACTATAGTGGTCCTTTAAGAGGCTCCACACGATGGATACTGAGATGGCTGCTTCCTCTGCACTGCATGCGTTAGTCACCAAAATATGCCCTCATCTTGCCAAAGCTGGAAAATAAGGTACCATTGTGTCCAGACATTTTACTATTTTTAACAGAATAAAATATCTCTATCTAACCTTGGATACAGAATCTGAGAGTTCAAAGAAAGCCTCTCTTCTATCCTGCACAGAGGGAAGCTGGTAGCTAGGGCGCAAATCATTTTGATTGGGTGCCGAGATCACACAGGCTCTGCACGAGTGTTTTCTTTTGCTTCTCAAATACAATTATAGAACTTTGTGATAGAAATTCCAAAAATAGATACACTCTAAAATACAGTTATACACTGTACATGGTTTACATACATTTACACAGATATTCTGTGATTTTCAAGATGGAATTAGCAGTAATCAATAGAAATAACAGTTTTATAATGTATTCATGGAGAGAAAATTTTAGTGACAGCGGACATTTTCTATTTTCAGATAATGCCAATTATCAATACCCACAGCAGAGCTGAAACTTTTTTTGTACACTCACACTGATAATGCTAAATGATTAGAAGTAGACCAGCAAGTCCCTCTTGCATTCACTCCCTGTTCCTTTGTTTCTGGTGCATCTGTCATTTACAATGAAGGTAGTTTTTACCAGCTACTCTCAAAAGACTTAGGAATGACGCAACATATATCAATAACCTGACTACTGATGCTTTCAGAGGACGCAGATAAAGTCTCTATCCCAAGGTTGTAAAGACTGCCAGTGTCTGCTTCCAATATTTCAACACCAATTTTAAAGGTGATTTTATTGTAACATTTAACCCTGCAGGTAAGATACAGACAGCATGGATTTTGTGCTTTTTACAGAAGGCTATAACATTCGCTCCTGCTCATCCTCTGCTTTCAGCTCCAAGAAAAGGAACTACATTTGTGTACCGTCTGTTACAAGCAATTAAACAGATACTCCTCTCTCCCATGGGACCGAACCAGTCTACCTTGTTCTTGACCTACAATTATGTTATTATTATGTTATTACTTATATAGCACCACAAAATTGCGCAGCGCTTTACAGTGGGTAAGGATAGTGTTAGACTAGTGACAGTTGCAAGAGAGGAATCATTTAGGAGCTATTAACAGTTTAATTGATACACGTTTATGAAGAAGTGGGTTTTTACTGATTTTTTTTTGAAGGAGTGGAGACTGGGTGAGTTTCTAACGCAGGAGGGAAGTAAGTTCCACAGGAATGGTGCAGCCCTCGAGAAATCCTGAATACACACAGCTCACTCAAGAACAATAAAGGGAAAAAAAAGGAAATCTAACCATGTCATAAAAAATATATAGAAAGTAAAAAGCATCATTGATGATTTAAAAAGTGAAATAGGAAAAGAAAGTATTACATTCCTGTTTTTTTTTTTCCTTCTCTTCAAATAATGATTGTGCATTAAAGAGACCATAAACACGACAACCCTTTATTAATGGTTATGCTGTCAACAGGCTAAGTTTTAAAATACTTTGATACAGAGTATCACAGGAAACAGCGGCCCAGCCCCAGCTTGCCATATTGCTCATTCAAAAGTTTCTAAACTGGATGAATTTGACATTACAATACGGTGAGAAAGGGGCCAGAGACTAAGCCACTGGGGAACTCACGGTTTGGGTGAAAACACTCAAGAACACAGTGTTATAATTAGGCTGTAGTGTTGAACGTGCCTTTTTATTGTCATTATTACGCATTTATTGAGCTTTTACCCTAATAGTCTTCACTGTGTGCTAGTAATGGATTCAGAATGCCAAGTGTAAATTATGTGTCTCAGTCAGACAATCCGACACAATAAGTGCAGTTAAAAGTATATGGCTGTAGAGCATGAGTGCCAACAAAAACATTGCCCATGTCTGAAGTCACATTAGCATTTCTCATGTTAGTCACCAGAAGGAAGAGAAGAAAGAATGAAAAACCTTAACAGGATTCTAAGGTTTTCATTGAGAGCTTCATTGTTTTATCAGTAAACCATGGGCAACCCCTGAAATGTAACAAACAAGATTTATTATTCAGAAAATAGGTAATCTGTTCAGTATTATTTATATTGAAAAGCATGAATTGGATGAATTGAATAAAGGAACACTATAAGATCAGGAACACAAACATGCATTCTTGACCCTATAGTGTTAAAACCACAATCTAACCCTCCTGACCGCCCACCCTTGTCCCCCTAAATATAGTAATGTAGTATTAATCTTACTTTTAGTCAAGTCTGCTGCTGCTGATTCTGCCTGCTTGGTTGGCATCATCAGAAGTGATTATTATTTTTTGCCAAACACTATGCTTTTCCCATAGGATTGGCTGAGACTGTCAAGGAGGCAGATCAAAAGCAGAACCAACACAAGTCCAACACAGCCCTGGCCAATCAGCATCTGCTCATAGAGATACATTGAATCAATGCATCTCTATGAGGGAAGTTCAGTGTCTCCGTGCAGAGGATGGAGACACTGAATGTCTGTCACACTGTGCAGCACTGCCCCAGGAAGCACCTTTAGTAGCCATCTGAGGAGTGGCCAGTGGAGTTATCCATAGGCTGTAATTGAAACTCTGCCTTTTATCTGAAAAAAAACTGAATTTACAGCAAAAAATCTCAGAGGACTGATTTTACTCACCTGAACAAATACAATAAGCTGTAGTTGTTCTGGTGACTATAGTGTCCCTTTAATTCTTTTACACTCATCAACCACATGAGCCTGCTGCGATACCAGGAACTGCACATAGAACAGCAAAGAATTGGTTGCGGATCTGTGTGAATAGACTCTTAGTTATTCATCAAACCCTGAAATGTAACATGTTCCAAACTGAATAAAACCGAGTCTAAAATATCCAAGCTGTAATTGTAACTGTGATGGAGAATTGCTCCTAAAACTGAAGTGCGAGATAATTTTTTAAATGCAAACACGGAGCACATTTTGTATTTTCTCTCTTGTGTGTAATGTTCTGTATGACATAACCCAACATAAAATATCTCCTGCTGACTTGAACAACTTATAATTTATAGAACCAGGCATTTGCCTGGTTTGCCCGATGGCCAGTCCGGTCCTGCTAACCACTGGTTTTTAATGTATGCCATTTTTTTGCCCACACCTTAGATTTTGCATATTTTTCCTCACTTTTCTTTTTTGGTGCCATGCAAAATTTGCCAACCTTTTCAGAAATAAATATCACTGAAAACAAAACGGCAGAATTTAGGCCGAGAAACACTTATTTAGACCACTTCGAGAAGAAAGTTAATAAATACAAAAAGATTAGAGACCAACTATAAAAGGTACTTTTCAGAATACTTTGATACATCTACCCCACTGTTATTTCTGAACATGATAGGTTAGCAATTTCCAGGTTCTTAATAATCTCAACGTATCTGTCGGATGTGGCTAAGTAATCCAAGAAAATGACATCTGCCTAAGGAATCAGGGGCGAGATACACAGATTGCTTGTTGTAATAGAACCAAACATGGGCTGCTATTGTTTCTGGGGGGAAAAATCCTTGGACGATTACAATGTATAACCAGAAGTACACTACTCAGACTGACAGATAAGCTAATCGCATTTCGTATAGCTTAGCATGTACGGCAGACATTAATGACGGCTAAATGTGAGGATACCAGATCACATTACTACATGAAGGTGACATGCTCATGTTTTTCCGTGGAAGTAAACGGACAGAATTAATTAGATGGAAGCATACAGGGACCGGAACCACTGAATGCTGCAGAGTCTTAGGACTGCAACTCCCAAAATGCTGTGCCAACACAAAACAAGGCTGATATTATATATTTTAGGTTTTAAACTAAGTTTTTATTTATAATGCTTATATTTTTCTGTTGGTGTTATGATACAAATTGTGAATATGTGATAATTTTATATATTTTCCGGTTTATTTACTACACTGTGAATTGTAAAGATTGGAAAAACAAATTGTAAAATGTAGGCTGAAATTCTTTGGAAAATGTTTTAATTAATTCAGCTTGGCTATTTTAGTTGACATTTAAATGAAAAAGTAAACACAAAGAATCATCAATAAGAGGTATAAAAACATCTTGAAACAATTCATAGCGGTTTTTGTTTTCCCTTTGAATCCAAACCGGATGCAAAATGTAAGTACAAAACTGGATAGATGGAGACAAAAAAATAAGTAGAATTTTGAATTTATAAGAGGACTGTGTCTGATAGACAGTAGTTGCAAGTTCAAAACCTCGAGCAGCAGAAATAATCAAGTAACGAGCTCCTCAGTATCTCTAGATTCCATCACGAGATAATTTCAGATAATGACAGCAAGACTTAGAGATGGGAGCTTGACATCTAAACACGTACTGGGAGAAAAGGAACCATACTGCCAAAATAATCACCTGTACAGCAAATCACTGATAATGAGACGTTAATGGTTTCAGTATTGGAGAGACACAAACATATCCATGATGATGGCCATATTTTACCATTCTTTTTAACATTATATACATCCTAAATTATTGTGAAATGCTTTTTATAAATATATAATCATTTTGAATGCTTCTGTTAGCAAATTCATGTATCTCTCTTCTCTCCCCAAATTCAGTATATACAGGAGCAAAATCTTTCTATGTGGCAGTCTGTTAAGCATTTAAAGAGACACTTCATCAAATAAAATCACCTATTGCCTGTGTCAACCATTTCTCATGGGAGCACAATTTTCTTTTAAAGGAGCACTATAAGGTCAGGAACACAAACATGTATTCCTGACCCTATAGGGTTAAAAACCACCATCTAGCCCCCCTGGTCCCCTCTTGCCTCCCTAAATATAGTAAAATCTTACTTTTATTCAAGTCGGGAGCTGCTTACTTTGTCACGGTTTCCTTTAGACCTGCCCATTGCCTGCTGACATCAGCAGAAGTGGTAGCCTGATTCAATCACAATGCTTCCCCATAGGAATGGAGGAGACTGACAAAGAGGCAGATCAGGGGCAGAGCCAGCATGATTCAAACACAGCCTTGGCCAATCAGCATCTCCTCATAGAGATGAATTTAATCAATTAATCTCTATGAGGAAAGTTCAGTATCTGCATGCAGAGGGAGGAGACACTGAATGTTTGGATGAGCCATGACCCAGGAAGGATCTCTAGCAGCCATCTGAGGAGCGGCCAGTGAAGCTATCACTAGGCTGTAATGGAAACACTGCATGTTCTCTGAAAAGACAGGGCTTACAGCAAAAAGCCTGAAGGTAATGATTCTACTCACCAGAACAAATTCAATAAGCTGTAGTTCTTCTGGTGACTATAGTGTCCCTTTTTCCATTTCTACATTTACATTTTATTTTTCACACCTCAAATACACATAAAACGTTAATTATATTGATAAACATAATTTAAAATAATTCGGGAAAAAAATGACAGTTTCCCTTTAACATTCTATTTTTAAGCACCAACATATCTCACAGTATTCAGTGCAAGACTGCCAGTGCCGATAAGGAGTTGTATCTGTTTTGCACTCTCCTATCAGATGTGTTTTCTTTTTTTCGACGCTGTGAACCTTGATCAATTATTTTAAAAAAAAAAGTGACACAGAAGGTGAGATAAGAGGACCAACTCCAATTTTCATGAAAGGAGTTTAAAGATTTTTCCACAAACAATTCTATTAATTAGTAGGTAGTAAAGAATATGCTGACATTTGCATCTCATGCTGACATCCTATATAATCAACTGTAATCACTCAGTCATACTGCTTGGGAACTCTGAATCATTCCATACACTTCTGTACTTCTCCCTTGATCACATGCCATCTCCTCCCTTACTGCTGCCGCACAGGCCAAAAACAGAACTGGAAACAATGAACACAAGCCATATGACAGCACACCCAGATCTCAGATTTCAGAACATGATCAAATTATTCCTCTGCTACAGGACCGAGACTTCCTTTACCAACTAGGGATGCAAGCCTCTAGAACAGAGAGCTCTACGGATGCAGTCCCATGGTGCTTAGCACTCCTCTTAAACGAGCATCACTGCGGATGGCTGAGAATATTGAGAGTGGCAGCTGCATAACAAGCACAGAGCAACAAACTGCCTTTAGTAAATTTATACAAAAAGAGAGTAATGTAAGTTTACACCCCCGATGCCAAAAATGAAGGATATAAATAGCACTTAGGACTGAAAGAGGATACGTTAAAGGTTTATCTCACAAGTCGAGATCTAGAGCCAGAAGATAACCGCAATGACTGCACAGTGAGAAAAAAAAATGTAAATGTCTTGTTTAATGATAGTCAAAAATAGGAGATGACAAGGGCCGATGACAAGCTACAACTGCTGTGTTTCCATAACTGGAGAAGCAGCAAGGAAACTGCATCAAGAAGGATCACCGGACCTGAGAAATATCTCCAACCTACCTTACAGGGACCCTCAATGACCTGAAAACTTCCCATTGAGGCTCACTCAGCAATACTTTGGATGTTATTCACCCCAGGCTGATCTTTAGGGGACATTTCTGATTGAAGCAGAAGGCACACACATCTAGAGGAAGTTTGGAGACACTTACAGGGTTATTCACTCTGATGGGAATAGTCAGGAATTGACCAGAGAACTGAAAGTAAATTTTAGACCAGAATTGTCAAGCTGAGAAGTCTTCCAGTTGGCCCTAACATTTGCCAGTTCATTGAAATTTTCCATTAAGCAGTCCACATTTTATCAAAGTTGGAGTATATACACAATAATAGTTTCCCCATACCACAGTTTATATATGAATCAAGGAGGGACGTGAGAAGGTGGACACATAGCAAGGACTGAAAGAGGAGTTAGAAAGGACGTGGATAGTGAAGGCAGTAGTAGTCCCAAGCTGTGATAGGAGCACTCGGTGCTGTAACCCTCAAATGGGAGAGTGACTTCAGTAGATTCCAGGTGGGATATCTGAGATCATTCAGAAGAGTGCCTTTCTAGGAACAGCTAAGGTACTGTGCAGAATCCTCAAACTCCCATCCCTCTGGTAGAGGACCCAAAAATGAGTAATACACATAAAACCAACTCTAGGGGTATGAAAATGATAAATATATTTACAGACACGCACACATAGCATTCCCAGAGAATGGTATGGAAGCATACAATTTTTCTTCAGGGTCTGGAAAACAGGTAAAATCAGTGGATTTACTTTGAATTCAGCATATTGCGAGAAGAGTTAAAAAATTGCAGGTACCAGAGATTTGCTACTTAAATGACCGTCTATGCCAATTTAATGACTAGGACGGATAGTTTAAGATTTCCGCTTTAGATACCAGCTCTGCCAAAGCCTTATTAAAATGACTGATTTCAGTTAGCCAGGAATGGATAGAGATAAAAAAAGAAAAAAAAAAGAAAAAAAAAAGGAAAAAGCTGTTCAGCACAAAATAATAGTGATATTTTACCTGTTCAACGTCTGATGACGGTCTGTATTTTTTATTATTAAAATTAAATATTGACAGATTTGTCAAAAATGATCAGGAATAGCATTATCGGTAAAAAGCCATTCTAGGGCAACATTCTAATCGTGCAGCAATCACCATGGAAACCAATGACCCATTTCAGCTGGAAGTGTCACCTTTACAGTCTTGACCCATAGGAAAACACACAGTCATAATCAGGCACTGTTCTGGAGGACCAATCACCATGGAAACCAGTAGAGTGTATCTTAACATTTAGAATTTTGCACCTAAAATAGCACCTGCTCTGCCCTGATAAATCTTTCCTATGTATTGAAAGGAAAAACCACAAACAGCATTTAACAGGTCATATCATCTCATTTGGACACCTATACCTCAAATTAACATTTAATCTCATTTAATGATCTTCACCTTCATGTTAAACTAATAATCAGCTAAAAGTTATTTTTTTTGAGAGAGAGAGAGAGCTCGTTCTGTAGGTTTCAGAAACAACTGTAGAAGGTCTCTATGTCTTCACATTAATTAGTGGACTGAAGGTTCTCATTTCTTTCCTGCAAGACTAGCCCTGCTCAAAATGTCTTAACACCATTTTTTGGAAAAAGAAAGCAATTTAATGTGAAACGTTACAACACAGAGTGGATGGAGAAAGAGTATTCAGAGCATGTACCCTTACAGCACAGGAAACCAGGGCTCCGAATATATCTCACTGCCTGACTGCCTAAATAGTTTGAATATATTTTATAGAGAATTCTAAAAATAAAAATCACAATTGGTACTAAATATCCCTAAGACGCTTCTAAATTCAACAACTATTTCCACTATCACTGTATTTTCTTGACACATTTTTCTTAAGTCACCAGAGGACATACATCATTGCCGGACTTACAAATGGTGTAAAACATATCGCCAGTATAGTTCCAACGCAATTTAGGGACAGATTATTCTACAGCGCCAATGTGTTGAGTTCAAATTCACATACTATTAACCCTGGGAGGCCCCAGGGAAATTACAAAAAGGTCAGAACATGAACACTGGAGCACTACTTCGGTATATAACTAAACATTCAGTGTATTTATTTGTACTTGAGTGGTATTCGGTTGAAAAACACAGTGGATTTTCTACAAAAGTGTCACGCTCACTTTTTCACCTTCTCACCAAATTATTCCTTTCTGTAATTCTTCCATCATTTTATTTTTCAATTCAATTTTGTTTTGGCGGGGGGATTTGGTTTTTTTTCTTTTTGGTGTTCAGAAATGTGCCATTCCCTATAAGTGCAAGAGTTCACCATTTTTTGGACAAATTTTTCTGCCACTGTCAGATTGGAGAATTTTCTGAAACAGGTAATCAGTTTACAAGGTATTCCTTTTTGTTTAAAGGGACACTACAGGCATTTCAGCTCATTGAAGTGGTCTGGGTGCAGTGTTCCTGTCAGTGTAACCCTGCAATGGTAATTATTGTAGTTATTGAGAACCTGCAATAATTACCTTGCAGGGTTAACTCCACCTCTAGTCTACTAGAAAGCCACTAGAGGCACTTCCGGGTTGTTAGGTGACATCCAGCATCAGCTGAAACCACATAGGAAAGCATCGATTCAATGCTTTCTTATGGGGTTATCCTAATGTGAATGCAGTGCTCGCCGCACATAGGCACTAGATCCCTGACGGGAAGGAAGAAGGAAGGCGGAGCATGACCCAGCATCGAGAGTCATCAACGATGGATTCAGGTAAGTGCCAAAAAATTTTTTTTATCATTTATGCGCTGCAAGGGGTGGCACTATAGGTTAGGAATACAATTCTGTACAACAATTTTGTATTCTTAGGCTATAGTTTCCACTTTAAAGAATAAAAAAGATCCTTGAAATTGTGACTTACTTATTTTTCCTAGTATTAGTACGGATTTTAATTATTCTCTGATAGTAATAAATGGTTAAACCATTTAAAAACAAAAAAACTCCAACAGAGCAGAAAAATTGATCATTTCAGAATATAATAGTATACAGGAATTTTATACAAAAAATAGTGCACAGAACTGGCATAAACATTAAAGTGAACAATTTTGACTAAATTCCAAAAGGTCTGGATTATTATGCTTGCACTGAATGGAGATAGGAAAATTAACATGGAATGAACGAAATGTAGTCTAATCACCATCTGTTTTTATTCTAAAAAAACGCAAGTTTTAGGTTTTTCTTTCGGATCCTAAACATACTTAATTTACCAAACTCACATTCTCTCTATATCTATTTACGGTATGTGACAATCACAAGCAAACACGGGATTATGTATAGATCGCAATACTGGAAAGATCATGATACACGTATGTGTGCCGGAATTGAGGACACTGAATTTCAAATTTTCTGCAACCATGTATCACCATGACAGTCTTGTTAGATGTATTTTCCTTCCCTTGGGAACTCTGCGGGAAGTTGGTAGTGAGGAGTTCACACCTTGTTGCACACAAAATAATAATAACAACAAAGCATTTAAGCAGGAAAGGTACATTCAGATTACTCTGGTTTTCAAGTATGTCCTGAGGATGTTACCTTAGCCCAACATCCAGGGGTTGTTACTATTACCCAATTTAATGGTACTCATTTTGTCTACCTCGGAAAGAGGAAGGGCTGAGTCAACCCTGCCGGGATTCGAACCTGCGACCCAAGGGTTGGAACAGATTGTACTGATGATGCATTAGCCCAAAGCATTCTGGGACACATTACAGAAAATGCCAGGACAGGCATACAAAATTACATTATAGCCAGAGCTTGTTACAATAAAAAATATTTTTAAATGTTTGCCAACCTCTACGTATAAATCAAAAACCTGTTTACCTACCTTTACATATGTTATCCAACGAAGGTGCACGCTACACACCCACACAAGCAAATACAATTTGTACATTATAGGTGCACCATAGGCACCAGAACAACTTGGGCAGACACCCTGTCCCTGCAGGCTTAGTGTAAACGCTGCCTTTCCTGGGAAAAGGTAATGTTTACATTGCCGTCTAACACCACCTGTAGTGGCTGTGACTTCGACATCCACTATAGAAGATTTTAGGGTTCAGTCCTACAAACAGTGTAGGACTGACCTTCAGCATCTCCATGCTCTCCCTGGAGATGCTTAACACTCCTCATAGAGCTGCATTGATTCAGTGCATCTTTATGATGAGGTGTTGGCATAGCCGCGTATGTGCACTAGCCTCCCAATTAAGCATTTGATTGGCTAAGATAATCAGGACTGATTATCTAAGCCAGCAGAGGCGGAGCAACCACAGCAAGAACTGGGCACCTGCGTTAGATATCTAGTACCAACTTTGAAGCTTTCTCACTTGAAATTTTGAATATATCAGAACAATAAAAATACAAGTAGGGCAGACATGCCAGCTCTATCAAGAAATGTATCTGTAATTTACACACAAAAAAAAATTAAATTAAAATGCATTAAAACATTACAATTTTTAAGAACAGAGGCTTCCAGGTTATTAATATAAAATATTCCAGGGGTGCACAAAAGGTATATCCACATATACTGTAGGATACAATTCCAATAATGATTTGTCAGCCTGCAGAATATATGTAAGGTACAGACGAGAACATTTTGAGTTACTTTACAAAACTTTGTGGAGAATTTACAAGGGAACTGCAAACTTCAGCCCAGATTGGAAATATTTTTCAACTTACTGTGACCAACAATTTTTAAACAATTGTGTTTCTCAAAAGCTCTGTTTATGTAAGTTAAAAGCAAAGAAATTGCAAATAAAACCAGAAGCAAATACAAAAATAGATCTTTAAAAAAAAAAAAAGGGGTGGCTATGCCAGGAAACTCAGGACACCTGACAGTTTAGCAATTTTCTGCTTACCTTGTGCAATTGCTATGGACTCAAATCTGTGCAGCTCTCTTAGAAGACAACTCCTCTCGGTGGCATGAAGACTATAGATAAAATCTTTGGCACCCTGCGGGGTGTTGAGGGATTCCATGGGTTCTTTCCTAGGATGTGTGCCCAATAGCCTACAGCTTGGCATTGGCGAGCGCTTGGTACACCAACATCTGCTTTGCCAAAGCCAGTTCAATGGCTTCACACACGATGGGCGAAGAGCAGTCCGGCTTAACAAAGGCAGCATAGACATTGTCCCTTGCAATGTGAAATATCAGCTACTAGTGTTTTCAGATGTCAGTGTCTGTTATAGTGCAATAGTCCAACGTTCTGTGTATGTCTGAGCAATGAATGAATCTGCACACATACACTAGCACACACTGTATATGTTGCCCTTAACTAACATGCATAGATATGTTTAAATATAAATCACAAGTGTAACACTAGCACTAGAATTATTGTTTATGCCAATTGTAAAGAGATACTGTTTTTAACTAAACAGAGCTGATGGAAGCACAATGATTTTCACTTAGAATGTAGTGTTTAGGGTTTATTGAAAAAAACAAATAAGACAACAATGTAAATATGAACATTATACACTACAACTGTGCAAATAGAAACTAAAAAAATACCACTAAAAACCCCTTCAGAGAAAATAAACACCAGGAAATCTATAAAACGGATTTGTTACAGCTGTCACTATACACTGTAAGGGAATACAACTCACAGAGAGTAAGGAAAGGGAAGTGCCATGTATTATAAGGGAAGCTATAACAGATCAGTGGGTCAGCTGCCAAATATTGTTAGAGCTGCAGAGTTTAAAGAATCCAGGGCTGGGTGCCTCTCTCTCACTGTGTATATAGACAGTATTACACATAAACACACATGCTGGAGTCACAAGGTTAAGGGAAGCAATGTGGTCCTATCTGCAAACACTGATCGTATAAAGGTTATGGGAGGTGTATGTGTGTATGATGTACTGTATGAGGACTGTAGAAAGATTATTAGCATTCACTAGGGCTGATGATACAATGTTGCAATGGGTTGTGTTCACTAGGACTGGGTGACACAAAGTTGCAATGCTTTATGTACATTCACCAGGGTTTGATGGCATACTGATACAATGCTATTGTGATCAGTGACGGGGGCTCATTGAGGGCAGAAATTAAAATAAATGTAGCAGGCAGGGCGACTATTCTATAAATAGAGATATATAGACTTGGAAAGCTACACATGCATACAATATATGATATATAGCAGGTGTATCATAAGACTATCGAGTGTGCCTGGGAATATGATGCATAGAGCCAGTATACAGTGTGCCAATGTCCTATTAGAGCATGTATATACTGTACAGGGTGTATGAGTGCCTGGGATATGATATATAGAGCCTGTATACAGTGTATCAATGTCCTATTACAGCCCGTATATAGTGTATCAATGTCCTATTAGTGCCTGTATACAGTGTATCAATGTCCTATTACAGCCTGTATACAGTGTATCAATGTCCTATTACAGCCTGTATATAGTGTATCAATGTCCTATTACAGCCTGTATATAGTGTACTGGGTGTATGAGTGCCTGGGATATGATGTATAGAGCCAGTATATAGTGTATCAATGTCCTATTAGAGCCTGTATACAGTGTATCAATGTCCTATTACAGCCTGTATATAGTGTACTGGGTGTATGAGTGCCTGGGATATGATGTATAGAGCCAGTATATAGTGTATAAATGTCCTATTAGAGCCTGTATACAATGTATCAATGTCCTATGTCCTGTCAGTATCTAGTGTGCCCTATAGTGAGTGCCTGCATATGATGTATAGAGCCTGTATACAATGTATCAATGTCCTATTACAGCCTGTATACAATGTATCAATGTGCTGTCAGTATATAGTGTGCCCTACAGTGAGTGCCTGGGATATGATGTATACAATGTATCAATGTCCTATGTCCTGTCAGTATATAGTGTGCCCTACAGTGAGTGCCTGGGATATGATGTATAGAGCCTGTATACAATGTATCAATGTCCTATTACAGCCTGTATACAATGTATCAATGTGCTGTCAATGTATATAGTGTGCCCTACAGTGAGTGCCTAGGATATGATGTATACAATGTATCAATGTGCTGTCAGTATATAGTGTGCCCTACAGTGAGTGCCTGGGATGCTGTGTGTCCGAGCTCTCCATACAGTCAGTCCCCGGTGCCGGGAAGGTTGCCCGGTCCAGTGCTAGATGTCTGCTGTGCTGGTCCCGGGAGCTGGGCTGGCTGCTTGGCTGGATGCTGGGAGGTTCGCTGTCCCGGTGCCGGAGGGTGGGCTCGGTGCTGGCGGCTGCCCTGTGCCTGGGTGAGAGGCGGAGAGTCCGCACCTCTCTCTGTCCCGGCGCTGTCAGACACTGCGCATGCGCCGAGTAGCCAGGCGCGCTCACACTGTGACAGGCGCGCCCATTGAGTCAGGCGGACACACGGTGACTGGCGCATGCGCAGAGCGAGCAGTGTCTGGCAAGGTGTATTTGGGGGTCACTGGGACAGGCCCTTATCCTGACTGACCAGGGGTTATTCCTTAAACAATGACTTGCAGTGCATTGAGCATGGAATGATGGGATTTTAGAGTCAAATATATCAGCAGTGATTCTAGCTGAATTTTTTCCAAATCATCACTTTTTGTCTAAATGTTCCAATTTGGTTTTTAATTTGCTACAATTAGGTGTTTAGTGAATGAACCCTCTGGATAAAGCTGGTACTGGGTGCTTGCTGTATCACAGCTACAGGCCTTCTAACATGTCCAGGCCCCCTGTACAGCCATCCTAGGTTGGTTCATTTTTGTCCTGATATTGAGGACACCAGGGAATTGTCCCCAGAAATGTGAGGACATTGTTGTACTGAATGGTGTCAGGGCACTAGGACCATGGACCATTGTGCTACAGCGCACTTGTAAAAATTCTTATTTTCTGGGTGTTAATCTGCTAAATAGTACATTTTCAGACTGCACTTCATATCTGATAGACAAATAGAAGCGTCTAATAGTGTGCTTACAGCGCAGTGGAAAACATTCTTATTTTCTGGGTGCTAATCTGGTAAATAGTACATTTTGGGGCCTGCTCTTCATATCTGAGAGTCAAATAGAAGCGTCTAATAGTGTGCTTACAGCGCACTTGTAAAAATTCTTATTTTCTGTGTGCTAATCTGCTAAGTAGTACATTTTGGGGCATGCACTTCATATCTGAGAGTCAAATAGAAGCGTCTAATAGTATGCTTACAGCGCACTTGTAAAAATTCTTATTTTCTGTGTGCTAATCTGCTAAATAGTACATTTGCGGACTGCACTTCATATCTGAGAGTCAAATAGAAGTGTCTAATAGTGTGCTTACAGCACAGTGGTAAAAGTTCTTATTTTCTGGGTGCTAATCTGGTAAATAGTACATTTTGGGGCGTGCACTTCATATCTGAGAGTCAAATAGAAGCGTCTAATAGTGTGCTTACAGCGCACTTGTAAAAATTCGAATTTTCTGAGTGCTAATCTGCTAAATAGTACATTTTGGGGCGTGCACATCATATCTGAGAGTCAAATAGAAGCGTCTAATAGTGTGCTCACAGTGTAGTGGTAAACATTCTTATTTTCTTGGTGCTAATCTGCTAAATAGTTCATATGTGGACTGCACTTCATATCTGAGAGTCAAATAGAAGGGTCTAATAGTGTGCTTACAGCGCACTTGTAAAAATTCGAATTTTCTGAGTGCTAATCTGCTAAATAGTACATTTTGGGGCGTGCACATCATATCTGAGAGTCAAATAGAAGCGTCTAATAGTGTGCTCACAGTGTAGTGGTAAACATTCTTATTTTCTTGGTGCTAATCTGCTAAATAGTTCATATGTGGACTGCACTTCATATCTGAGAGTCAAATAGAAGGGTCTAATAGTGTGCTTACAGCGCACTTGTAAAAATTCGAATTTTCTGAGTGCTAATCTGCTAAATAGTACATTTTGGGGCGTGCACATCATATCTGAGAGTCAAATAGAAGCGTCTAATAGTGTGCTTACAGCGCACTTGTAAAAATTTAAATTTTCTGGGTGCTAATCTGCTAACTAGTACCTTTTGGGGCGTGCACTTCATATCTGAGAGTCAAATAGAAGCGTCTAATAGTGTGCTTACAGCACACTTGTAAAAATTCTTATTTTCTGTGTGCTAATCTGCTAACTAGTACCTTTTGGGGCGTGCACTTCATATCTGAGAGTCAAATAGAAGCGTCTAATAGTGTGCTTACAGCACACTTGTAAAAATTCTTATTTTCTGTGTGCTAATCTGCTAAATAGTACATTTGCGGACTGCACTTCATATCTGAGAGTCAAATAGAAGTGTCTAATAGTGTGCTTACAGCGCACTTGTAAAAATTCGAATTTTCTGAGTGCTAATCTGCTAAATAGTACATTTTGGGGCGTGCACATCATATCTGAGAGTCAAATAGAAGCGTCTAATAGTGTGCTTACAGCGCAGTGGTAAACATTCTAATTTTCTGGGTGCTAATCTGCTAAATAGTTCATATGTGGACTGCACTTCATATCTGAGAGTCAAATAGAAGTGTCTAATAGTTTGCTTACAGCGCAGTGGTAAACGTTTTTATTTTCTGGGTGCTAATCTGGTAAATAGAACATTTTGGGGCGTGCACTTCATATCTGAGAGTCAAATAGAAGCGTCTAATAGTGTGCTTACAGCACACTTGTAAAAATTCTTATTTTCTGTGTGCTAATCTGCTAAATAGTACATTTGCGGACTGCACTTCATATCTGAGAGTCAAATAGAAGCGTCTAATAGTGTGCTTACAGCGTTCTTATTTTCTGGGTGCTAATCTGGTAAATAGTACATTTTGGGGCGTGCACTTCATATCTGAGAGTCAAATAGAAGCGTCTAATAGTGTGCTTACAGCGTTCTTATTTTCTGGGTGCTAATCTGGTAAATAGTACATTTTGGGGCGTGCACTTCATATCTGAGAGTCAAATAGAAGCGTCTAATAGTGTGCTTACAGCGTTCTTATTTTCTGGGTGCTAATCTGGTAAATAGTACATTTTGGGGCGTGCACTTCATATCTGAGAGTCAAATAGAAGCGTCTAATAGTGTGCTTACAGCGTAGTGGTAAACATTCTTATTTTCTTGGTGCTAATCTGCTAAATAGTACATTTGTGGACTGCACTTCATATCTGAGAGTCAAATAGAAGTGTCTAAAAGTGTGCTTACAGCGCAGTGGTAAAAATTCAAATTTTTTGTGTGCTAAATAGTACATTTGCGGCCTGCGGTACATTATCTTGCAGTCCAATAAACTTAAAAAAAAAAAAAAAATTCACTGTTGGCGGTTACATTGTCGCCTGACATAAAACATCTGTTAGTTTGGTGGGTGAACGCAAAGAATGAGAAGAGCGTCAAATAAGGGACGTGGCCCTGGTCGTGGTGTTTCTGGTGTTGGTGGAATCCCTGTTGCAAGGAGAGGATATGGTCAATCTGTGCCAGCTACACGCACAAGTGAAACACCTTCCTCATGTGCGAGTACGCGATAGAACCTTCAGGGTTATTTGATAGGCCCGAATACCGCTCTACGAATGGTGAGGCCAGAACAAGTATAGGCGATAGTAGATTGGATGGCTAACAGTGCCTCCAGTTCCTGCACATTGTCTCCCACCCTATTCCGGCTCCCAGCCTCACTCTGCAGCACGCGAGGGAGCCGAGCAGACAGCTCAGAGGAAGAGCTCCCTCGCCAGCCGCCCGCCCGCCCAGCATGTCAGTTAGCCGCAAGGCTAACAAGGCATTTGCCCTGGGCATTTGGGGGGCGGCTTTTTTTGCCGCCCCCTGAAAAATGCCGCCCAAGGCAAAAGCCTTGTTTGCCTCGCTGCTATAACGCCCCTGGGTAGGTGTATGTGTGTCAAAGTCAACAATCAAGAGAAGACTTCACCAGAATGAATACAGAGGCTTCATCACAAGATGTAAACCATTGGTGAGCCTCAGAAACAGGAAGGCCAGATTACAGTTTGCCAAACAACATCTAAAAAAGCCTTCACAGTTCTGGAACAACATGCTATGGACAGATGAGACCAAGATCAACTTGTACCAGAGGGATGGGAAGAGAAGAGTATGGAGAAGCAAAGGAACTGCTCATGATCCAAAGCATACCACCTCATTAGTGAAGCATGGTGGTGGTAGTGTCATGGCGTGGGCATGCATTGCTGCCAATGGAACTGGTTCTCTTGTATTTATTGATGATGTGACTGCTGACAAAAGCAGCAGGATGAATTCTGAAGTGTTTCAGGCAATATTATCTGCTCATATTCAGCCAAATGCTTCAGAACTCATTGGACGGCGCTTCACAGTGCAGATGGACAATGACCTGAAGCAAAAGCAACCAAAGAGTTTTTTAAGGGAAAGAAGTGGAATGTTATGCAATGGCCAAGTCAATCACCTGACCTGAATCCGATTGAGCATGCATTTCACTTGATGAAGACAAAACTGAAGGGAAAATGCCCCAAGAACAAGCAGGAACTGAAGACAGTTGCAATAGAGGCCTGGCAGAGCATCACCAGGGATGAAACCCAGCGTCTGGTGATGTCTATGCGTTCCAGACTTCAGGCTGTAATTGCAACCATGTATTAAAAAGTGAAAGTTTGATTTATGACTGTTAATCTGTCCCATTACTTTTGGTCCCTTAAAAAGTGGGAGGCACATATACAAACTGTAATTCCTACACCGTTCACCTGATTTGGATGTAAATACCCTCAAATTAAAGCTGAAAGTCTGCAGTTAAAGCACATCTTGTTTGTTTCATTTCAAACCCATTGTGTTGGTGTATAGAGCCAAAAAGATTAGAATTGTGTCGATGTACCAATATTTATGGACCTGACTGTATAAAGTGGTTAGTACCTACCAAACATAGAAGGAAGGACAAATGGTGAGCACAAGGCTCACTGATGCATGTGGAGCGTGAAGGCTAGCCCATTAGGGCTGATCACACAAAAGATGTACTGTATCTAAAATTGCTGAAGTGCATCCCAGTGTGCTGTGCATGGGGCTGTGTAGTTGCAGACTGGTCAGAGTGCCCATGATGACCACTGTCCACCGCCGAAAGCGCATTCAATGGGGACAACAGAACTGGTCAATGGAGCAATAGAAAAAGGTTGCCTGGACTAATGAATCATTTTTTCTTTTAGATCAGGTGGATGGCCGAGTATGCATTATGGCAGCAGAACGCACTTTTGAAAGAAGGCTAACTCTGGCGGCTGAGGCAGAGTTATGCTCTGGGCAAAGCTCTGCTCAGAAACCTTGGGTCTCCTGGCATTCATGTGGTTGTTACTTTGACACGTACCACCTACCTAGAGATTGTTGCAGACTTGTAGAGTCCATGTCTTAATGCATCAGACTTTTTTGGCAG